TTTCGCTCTTGTTGCTCAGGCTGGAGTGCAGCAGCGTGATCTTGGCTCACCGAAACCTTCACCTCCCGGGTTCAAGTGATTCTTCTGCCTTGGCCTCCTGAGTTGCTGGGATTACAAGCATGCACCACCATGCCCAGCTAATTTTGTATTTTTAGTAGAGACGTGGTTTCTTCATGTTGGTCAGGCTGATCTCAAGCCCCTCACCTCAGGTGATCCACCCGCCTCAGCCTCCCAAAGTGCTGGGATTATAGGCGTGAGCCACTGCGCTCCACTCTGCCGGTACTTTCTTAGGTAATAACGTCGCATTTGTTAGGACAGCTGGGTGGGTTGGTTTGTTTGCCATCCTAATAGCCTTACAAAACCAGACATAAGGTTTAACAGTGATTTTTAGACTATTCACTACAAAAGCAGGTATAAATCTTAGCCCACAACTTTATTAAGTTGTAATTTTCTTTATTTTCCTCTAACTCAACTAAAAAGCGTTCTGTGCCTCTATTCTACTAGGGTAGCACAAACTTAACGTATGTGTAAAGGACTGAGGCTTTTAGAAGATAAGAGCTGGAGACTTACAGGCAATGTTTGGCATTCTGTCATATCATGGCCCTTTCCTGAGACAATAAACTCCTGAGCCAACTATTTACTTGACTAGGGAAAAATGAATGGGGGAAAATACTGAGAGACAAAAAATAGATTAGTATCTCAAGAATACTTTTCAGCCAAATGTACTTAATACTTTTGAGGAAAAGCTTGTATTGAAGAAACGTGGTCTAGTAGCATTTCCCTACAAATTTGGATCAGGGATTTGGTCCTTTAAATCCCTATCTGTGCCCATTTTTGAATTTTGGCTAGTCTACAATTTCATGAAAGATACAACTCAAGTTGTTCTGATAATTGCCTGAATCCTGTGTGTCCTTTCAAGGGAAGCCTTCGAAACAATGCTGTTATGATGTCAATCTATTTCTGGTTGATGCCTAGGAGGCACTGGCAGGTCGCAGCACAGGTGTGCTCAGCTGAGTGTGTGGGGACAGAGAGCTGAGCAGAGGGCTGACAGAGAGACTGAGGAGGAGGAGCTGTCTCCATGCCAGGACCTGGCCTAATCCCCCCAAAATCACCAAAGGCTTACAGGGTCATTTGCTTGTTTCCATAGAACTAAAAGCTATTAGGTTGGTGCAAAAGTAATGGGTTTTGCACTAAAAGTAATGGGAAACACTGACCAGGCGTGGTGACTCACACCTGTAATCCCAGCACTTTGGGAGACTGAGGCAGGTGGATCACCTGAGGTCAGGTTTACGACCAGCCTGACCAACATGGCGAAACCCTGTCTCTACTAAAAGTACAAAAATTAGCTGGGCCTGTGGTGGGGGCCTGTAATCCCAGCTACTTGGGAGGCTGAGGCAAAGAATTGCGTGAATTCGGAAGAGGAGTTTGCAGTGAGCCAAGACCACGCCATTGTACTCTGGCCTGGGCGACAGAGCAAGACTCTTGTCTCAATATAAAAAAAACAAAAACCAAAAAAATGTTATGGTGAAAACCTCAATTACTTTTGCACCAATCTAACAGTTAAATTAAATTGACCAATCTAATAATCTAAAATTTAACTGTCTAAATCTGTACTAATGTGTAACTGCCTGTCTTTAGTTCATTGTACTTAGAATAAAACATCAACTATGCTCAGTTAATTTTTCAAAATGTCTATTTATAAATGGTTTTGACCTGAGAGGTCTATTATAATATAATCTCCTTCTGCTTGAAAAAGAAATCTATTCTAGACTTTATAAGAATATTATTTTTGTAACCTATTGTTATGCTTTAAAAGAGCTGTCAAATATTTACAGAGTCCATGGCCATTATAGGAGCAGATTAAAATGAAGCTTGAAATATCGAACTTTTATCTGTAATACAGCCAGCATATCTTTCCTTTATAATGGGCACATTAGCTTCAATACTCAATTTTTCAAGTTGCTATAAATGGAGCTTCTACTTCACAACGTTTAACATCTAATTCATTTTCTTGAAGGTAAATCATAGTGGGCTAGAGACACCACTAGAGAATGTTGTTTCAAATTCTTTCTCTACTAGAGACGGTGCTAGAAAATGTTGTTTTACTTCGTTCCATCTTTTAAACTGGTTAGAACAATAGCTCAATGTCGCTTTCTTATATGCGGATACAAGAAAGACTAGGAAACAGGCCGGGTGCTATGGCTCACACCTGTAATCTCAGCACTTTGGGAGGCCAAGGTGGGCGGGTCATTAGGTCAGAAGATCAAGACCATACTGGGTTTCAACATAGTGAAACCCCATCTCTACTAAAATATAAAATTTAGCCGGGTGTAGTGGCACACACCTGTAGTTCTAGCTACTCAGGAGGCTGAGGCAGGGGAATTGCTTGAACCTAGGAGGTGGAGGCTGCAGTGAGCCGAGGTCATGTCACTGCACTCCAGCCTGGGTGACAGAGCAAGACTTGGTCTCAAAAAAAAAAAAAAAAAAAGACTAGGAAACAGTAAAAATATTCTCAAAGAGAATACCAGTTCAATATTTTTGAATTCTCAGCTCTAAACTCTTGTGCATTTCATCTCTTCATGTTTAAATAACCTAGTGCTTTTTTCAAAAAAGAAATGATTTAGAATCTGCTTATAAACATCTGTGGGATTTAACTATGCCTTTATAATCTTTGAGTTTGAATGAAATCATTAAACTAGACAGTTTGTTTCTCTGACAACACAACATTTTGTGCAGCCTGATTAAGTTAGCAAGGCAGACTCAGGGCACTAATGGCTTCATGTTGTAACTAGGAATCTATAAATAAAAACAAACAAGGAGAAGATGGAAGAGGTGTTTATGTGCTCTTTCAAAGGCTTGAGATAACAAATGCTGGTTGATATGTGAAAACCACAGTTTTGCATTATGCTTTGATTTTATTTTCACTTGTATATTGAATCTAGCTTTAAGCTGTACGGGAAAGTGAATTTTCTAATGAGCGATATAAAATATACATTAAAGCTACATTATAATACAAGTTTTGATCATAAGCCAAATAGTTGAAGTGTATCAAGTCTGTTTTAAAGAAATACACATAGATTTGTTCACATAGTATATTCATTGCTCGATATTAATATCTGAAGAATTGGCCATTGACCTAGAATTCATTTCCAAAATGTATGATTAAAGAGATCTGCTCCTGAGCTGCTAACTGCATATTAGATTGATGTAAAGTGTTAAGCTTTCTGTATTGGAGTACATTCATGAATATGAATGTCAAGGATATGTACATATCCTTGAATATAAATTAACTTGCAAGACACCATGGTATTTATAGTTATTCTCCTACACATAGTACTCACTGTTGATTAGGAACTAGTGTTTGAAAAGCACTGCAAGCTTTCCTATTACCTTTAGGCAGCCCTTTGAGGTAAGAGTGGGTTTTCATTTTACAGAGCAGGACACTTGAGCTCTAAGTAGCAAGTGTTGTCCAGGTTTCCCACTTCCTGGAAGAGACAAAGCATGGGATGTGAACTCTGATATTTTGGCGGAGGCCCCACTCTGACACAGCTGTCTCCATCCATGAGCATCGTTGGCCCCTGCATTTGTGATGTGCTTTTTTTTATTATTATTATTTTGGATACAGAGTCTTGCTCTTTCACCTAGGCTGGAGTGCAGTGGTGTGATCTCAGCTCACTGCAACCTCCACCTCCCAGATTCAAGTGATTCTCCTGCCTCAGCCTCCTGAGCAGCTGAGGCTATAGGTGCCTGCCACCATGCTCGGCTAATTTTTTGTATTTTTTAGTAGAGACAGGTTTTCACCATGTTAGCCAGGATGGTCTTGATCCTGACCTCGTGATCTGCCTGCCCTGGCCTCCCAAAGTGCTGGGATTACAGGCTTGGCCACCGTACCCGGTCTTGTGATGTTCTTATACAAAGTATGTTGATGTCTATTTTAGTTTTATTTCATCCTTATGATGGAAGTGATTGAGTTTTTGTGGTGTAACAGATCACTAGTGTGTATGCATGATAGAATCATGACAGAATCATGATTTAAGATCATAAGCAAAAATTCCATTTCCACAGCATTTTGAATGTCTTTTATCCCACACTTGACCAAATAGCAGTTTTCTATGATTTGGGCAGGGTGATACCTAGGCTGATATATTATAGACTTATTTAAAAAATTTTGTTTTTGACATCAATTAAATTAATTGTACATATTTATGGGGTATATATTATATGTATACTTAAAACTACAATCTAGTAAGATCAGGAAGTTAAAATTAGCTGTATTTTTTAATATTACCTTTAAATACTAATATTCTTATTAATTGAGGGATTTTTGGTTATGAACAAAGGTAATACTTTAATTTTTTTTTTTTTTTTTTTTTGAGATGGAGTTTTGCTCTTGCTGCCCAAGCTGGAGTGCAATGGCATGATCTCGGCTCACTGTAACCTCTGCCTCCCAGGTTAAAGTGATTCTCCTGGCTCAGCCTCCTGAGTAGCTGGGATAACAGGCATGTGCTATCATGGCTGTTTTGTATTCTTAGTAGAGACAGGGTTTCTCTGTGTTGGTCAGGCTGGTCTCGAATTCCTGATCCCAGGTGATCTACCTGCCTCTACCTCCCAAAATGCTGGGATTACAGGCATGAGCCACTGAGCCCCGCCAATACTTTAATTTTTTAAATGAATGATCTACATCAATATCTACTGACAGTATGAATTTGATATATGTTCTTATGAGTAAAAGATAATTTCATAGAATAATCACTTTTTTTTTTTTTTTTACAAATAAGGAAATGGTGATCTATTCCTACACATTTGTTTTTTTAGGCATATAGCAAACTGTCAGTATTGACTATCTCCATGTTACAGGATTTAAAAGGGGCCTTCGACATTCAGACTTATGAAATGCCATGAAAAGGAGCCTGGTTCTTTTGACAGTTCTGTAAACAGGATATTTCTCTAAATTATTTAGATATATTTATTCAGTTAAGACAATTGTTTCATGTACCAGATTTTTAATGCATTTGAATCTTTATTCTACAACACAAGCAACATAAATACAATATCTTTTAAAATATTTTCTCTTTAGAATTTTCATTTTCACCTCAGATAAAATGTACACAAAATACACTTGCAAGCTTGCTTACAGAGTCCTGTTAAGGAACAGACAGAGTCTGTGAAATCAAACAGTTATATCAACATATAAAAGAGGATGTTTTTTTTTAAGTAAATGTGACCAAACTGACGAAGAAGGCAAAATGAAAAATTATGCTTCCTTGACAAGGCCTTTGGAGTAAGCAAAATGCTTCAAGGCTCCTGGTGAATGGGGTTGCAAGGATGAATTTTGCATTTTGTAGGTAAAATGGTACACTGACTCAAATCATTATGGCTGTACCAAGCTTCAGTTATTTATAACCTTCAATGAAAATAAGTTGATTCTTTGGCATAATACTATAAGGAATAAAAGGACCCATACCACCCATTGGCTTTATCTAGACTGGGAGACGGCAGTAGGGGAACTGTTTATATATAATGTAATTTGTCTAAGTTTATTCCTTTTAGAAAAGTGGGAAAAGCATCTTGAATAATAGTCTTTTAGCATGATTAGGGCAGGAAACATCTTATTTTTAGCTCCCCCATCCTCCAACACAAACTAAGAAACAAAAATAACCTTTCCCTTTAGGCAGCTCCTCCTGCCCCATCATGCCACACCTGGGTATTCTATCACATGGTTTCAACTGAAGTGAAACCCAAAATATCAAAAGCATTCATCCTTGTTCAGCTTTGCCTATTTTGTGGGAAATCAATTTTTATTAGAGAGAAGCACTTCCATCAAGAACCAGATGAAAGAAATGCAGGACGAAGCAGCTTGTACATAATCCCGAGGTCACCAAAGACGCTCGCTGGGGCTGGCAGTGTGAGGGCTTGACCCTCCCTAACTTTAAGAAAAAACATAATCTTTCACACATTAGTTCAAAAGATTGGCTTTTGGATTCCCTCCTCTCCTTTTTGGCACTGGTTGGTAAAACAAAAATAAATTACTCTTAGAGATTGACTTTTGAAATTTAATTTTAAAATCAGTGTTATCAAAATAACTAAATGCACAAATAATTTCCAAAACTTACGGGAAACTAAAGTTAAAAAAAAAAAAAAAACCCTTCAGTTATTTCCACCCACAGAGGCAAAAATTCTGTGGATTGTCTCCTTGATATCATTAACACTCTGGTATGCTTTCTGATGTAATTCTAGTAAACATAATCATTTCCTTCCATTCCTACAATAGCCTAAATTAATTTAAACAATGTCAGGGTGTTTATTAAGCAGAAGTCATTAGAGAAACTTTACTGAATTAATAAGCATTTTGTGTAATTAATGCAGTTTAAAATAGGTGATGATTTTTAAGTTACTTGTATTTTCTTGTATCATTCTTTATATGATCCTTAGGTTTTTCTTAATGGTAAAAGAATTTCCAAAGCTAATTAATTAAAGAAGAGATAAACTAAAGCCCCCTCTATATGAGTTAACATGATTTCACTGGATTCCCAAATCACACTGATTCTCTTTTATATTTTTCCCATCACTTGGAAGATGAGATCATGAATATAGTCTCCACCATGCAGATATGTGCACAGACACAACATATTTACTGAAAAGTCAAAACAGGCACACCTACTGCTTAAAAGGGAATTAGTTCATTTTGCAAATTTCTGTGAAGCCTTTGGGTACACTCTTTACAGATATATATGAAATTAAAATATTAATTTATACCAGACAGTTAAATGAAAGATGAAAGTACAGCAAGTAGTCTCATCTCATCTCGAAAGACTAATATTTTGATGGGCAATGAGAAATGTAAAACAACTGGCAAGCAAGCAACTACTCAAAAATCTGTAAGCCAGGAGCCAAGGCTGTAATGGAGCCAACATGGAAACATCTCATTAAAATGATATGGACAGAAGAAATTTAAAGACTACATACTTAGATTTAAAATCACCTTCAGTACAAGTCAAAGGGTCAACATGATATAAATGATCATCCATAGAATCAATGTTTCTAAATACAAAGACAAGAAGCTTAGATTTATCTCACTGTTCCATAGAAATTATACATTCATTGTCTTCTAGCTTGTAAAAACCAGTTGTTGGTATAATAAAACTGGAAACTGGGAAGATTGAGCAAGACTGCTTTATAGAATCCAATCCCAAGTTGTCTGCCCAAGGGTAGATTCCGTTTTTCTCTAGCATTTGATAAGTCAGGCTGATCTTAAAAGTAGTAGTTGGAAAATTTTTCAAGGCAGTGGTTCTCAGAGTTTCCAAAACAGCATTATTGGCCTCACCCTGAAACTTGTTAGAAATGCAGATTTCCTGATTTACTTAACTGGAAACTCTGAGCATGAGCCCAGCAATCTGTGTCTTAACAGGCCCTCCAGATGATACTGACGTGTGCTAAAGTTTGGGAACTATTGTTCTAAAGACAAAAGATACTAGACAACCACTGGTTAAACCTTCAGGATAGGAACTGATAGTACAAACAGTTCTTGGTGGTTGAAAAAGGTGGAAGGACCATAATTAGATGGGATTCACCAGCAGTGGAGTGCCGTTTTCTCCCTAAAGTGGTCAGCCACTCTCTCCTCCCTGGTACCCCTTTGTAGTACTGTACAAAGATACAGAGCCAAGGTATTGTATGGTGCTAGTGGTGTGGCAGTGCTTTCTCTTCAATGATGGGGTGGGATCACAATTTATAAAGAAACCAATGATCTCAGGAGATATTTTTGGTCTGTCTTCCCTGAAGTAAGTATTGTGTTTTGGAAATCTAACGGTGTTCTCTTCCAAAATCTTAAGTTATTAGTTATTTCCACATCAAATAACAAACACTGCAATATAGCCAGAGAAAGAGGATCTTCCAAACAAACAAAAAAAGGTACGTTTTCTAGATTGCTCCACTACTAAATGAGAACTTTTTTTTGAGGAGGTATAATTAGAAATCAAGTTCTTGACCAATTTTACAAATCTTTCCCAGTAACAAGCTCATATTTCCAATAAAAAGTGCTCTTTTGCTTTCCTAAGGCCACACCAAATCTCCCTGGGATCACCTAAGTGGTGCCCAAGCATACTGAAGTTTTGTCATTCCACTGCAAGACTGGATTTTCCTTCTGCCTGTTTCCTTGTCTGGAAAACAGGTGGAAATGTAGATGTTATGGCACATGGTTACTATGGATATCAACCTGATGCCCTTAGCACCTGGCTCCTCAAGCAATCTTGTCCAACCAGCTGCTTCCTCTTTAGAGAATGTACATTTTGAAAAATGGTTATCCATTATTTTGCATATTTCCAAACTTTGTGCTACGAATTTAGTACCATGTATTTCCCAGAGAAGCAAGTAAAGAGGCACTGTTGGCTACAGGGCACTTTATTCTGAGTTGATTAAATGATTTTTGAAAAAGGTTTACAAACGTGCATGCCATTCCAGACACAGGCTGCCATATTTTTCTGTGTTCACAGCTGGCCATGAACAGTATTATTCCATCATTTCCACCTAATTCCATGTGTTTTCTAAAGTAACACTGAATGTCTGCTTTTAAGATCAAAGTTCAGATTTTGGTTTTATTTTCAAACACTCAGACTGTGTTATATTTGATTTTTCTATGTGTAAACACAGTTCTTTTATTTTAACTTTTTAAAAACCTCCATGACATCCCAGACAGATCTAAGATGCCAATAGTCTCATTTTAATGGCCTCATTCCTTGAAACTTTCTCTTGTATTAGAGTGCTTACTCTGTGGACTTAGAGCATGTTGTCAGAGAGAGAGAGAGAGAGAGAGAGAGAGAGAGAGAGAGAGAGAGACAGAGAGAGAGAGAGAGAGAGAGAGAGAGAGAGAAAGTGGCCTTTGAATTCAGAAACACCTCTTCTGCAACCAACTTTGCCTTTTACTTGTTATGTTGGGCAAGTTTCTTAACCTCTGAGTGTCTGTTCTCGTCTGAAAAAAATGAGGAACACAATACCTGTCTCACAAGGTTGTTGTGAGGACTACGAGTGATAATATAGGTAACGGTTTGCAATCACAGTGACATTCGCCACACTCGCCTCCTCCCTGCTATTTGTAACCTCTTGATAGGGTTATAAGCTCTACACAAAGGTCTTCAATCTGTTTAGTTTGATGGGACTGATACTAATTGATTTTCCTTTCTGAGAAAGAAAACTTTTCTGTATAAGCAGAATTGTGATGAATCTGGCAACGTCAAGGATATCTATTACGTAACTGTATTACCTTCTCACAGTGAAAGCTATTTGACTCTCAACTAACTCTGTATATGCCTTCTCTTTAAAACAACAAAAGCCTAATGATCATTGCACCAATGTTTCAATTTCAAGGTACTTTTGAGTTATATTAACATGCTTGTCATGTTTGATTTAAATTTTTATTTTTATTTACTTTTTTGAGACAAAGTCTCACTTTGTCACCCAGGCTGGAGTGCAATCTTGGCTCACTGCAACCCCCACCTCCTAGGTTCAAGCATCTCTTGCCTCAGTCTCCCGAGTAGCTGGGATTACAGGTACCTGCTATCAGGCCCGGCTAATTTTTATATTTTTAGTAGAGATGGGGTTTCACTACATTGGCCAGGCTGGCCTCAAACTCCTGACCTCAAGAGATCCACCTGCCCTCAGCCTCCCAAAGTGCTGGGATTACAGGCATGAGCCACCACACCCAGGCTGATTTAAAGTATTTTATTTTATTTTTGTTTTTTTGAGATGGAGTTTTGCTGTTATAGCCCAGGCTGGAGTGCAATGGCACCATCTTGGCTCACCACAGCCTCCACCTCCTGGATTCAAGCTATTCTCCTTCCTCGGCCTCCCCAATAGCTGGGATTACAGGTATGTGCCACCATGCCTGGCTAATTTTGTATTTTTAGTAGAGATGGGTTTCCCCATATTGATCAGGCTAGTCTTGAACTCTCAACCTCAGGTGATCCAGCCTGCCTCGGCCTTCCAGAGTGCTGGGATTACAGGTGTTTAAAGTATATAATATGAGCTGTTAAGTATGTTAGCATCTGCCTGGGTTCTTATTGGTCATTCATTACACAGCCCCCAAATAGTAAGGTGTTCTAGTTTTATATCTGTGGTGAAGGCTGGAAAATTATCATAAGGGGAGAAAGAAGATGGTGTAAAAAGGCAGCCTAACTATCTTTAAAAGCAGATCAGGAGATACAGAGAGCTGGGTGGATGCTATGGACAGGGCATGAGGCTTCAATCATTGAAACCTATGTCCTCATTAATGACAGAGAGAACTCTGTCCATCTGCATACTTGGCTGGGCAGGGTCTCTTGTACTTGGAGTTTTCCAGATGTTTGTTTCATGAAGCACACTTTACCAAAATTTCAGAAAAGGGAAAGATTTCAACTTTGGGGTAATATACTTTTGGCTGTAAATACAGGCAACTAAAAGCAATGTATAAACTCTCATTCTGCTTAGGTCTGTAAATACATGCTAATAACTGTTCTAAATTTCAAAAGGCTGCCTTGAATTATGTCTTACGGTTGCTGCAAAAGAGAATCTGAGAAGAGAAACACCTGGCACTTTCAGAGACTGGGAGGGAGTGAAGGAAAGTGAGGGTGGGGTAGGAACTGAGTCACAGGAACAGGGCAAGAGATTGAGCTGGGCAGCCTGAAAAGGTGCCACTGCCCACCCAGTGTTTCTCATCTCTTCCCTTTCTTCTCCATCTGCTGAGAAGAATGAACTGAAGGCCTACGCATTAAAGACTACTCTGCATCAAGCAGTATCCTTGCTGGAAACTGCAAATGCCTCTGAGAAGTCCTGCTGTCACTCAGTGACATTTCTGGTTGAAATCTGATGTCAGTGTGGATGTCCGGGAACTCTGGAGTGCAGAGTATGTCAGGACTGGGTTATAGAGAAGACAATGGGAAGGTACCAAAACACTCTTTAAAAATTGCAGGTCAAGAGCTGTGTACACCTTCTCATCCTTTTATTCTTGGGACCCATATCAGGCTAGAACTAGAACAGTGTTCAGACATAGTACAGGGTAAACTTATGTTCAAGAACTAACTTTGGATCCTGTAATAGAGTATCAGGGAGCATGAATTCTGATTTCCAAACAATTAACTAACATACTTTGGGACATGGTCTTCTCGATTTTTTTTTTTTTTTTTTTTTTTGAGATGGAGTTTTACTCTTATCACCCAGGCTGGAGAGCAATGGCCTAATCTTGGCTCACTGCAACCTCCACCTTCCAAGTTCAAGTGATTCTCCTGTCTCAGCCTCCTGAGTTGCTGGGATTACAGGTGCCTGCCACCATGCCTGGCTAATTTTTATATTTTTAGTAGAGACAAGGTTTCACCATATTGTCCAGGCTGGTCTTGAACTCCTGACCACAGGTGACCCACCCCACCTTGGCCTCCCAAAGTGCTGGGATTACAGGCATGAGCCACTGCCCCCAATCAGCATCCAGAAATTGAGACAGCTTCCTTTGAATTTTTCTACTTTATGAAAAGTTGCTATGTATAAATACTGTGATTCTAGCCTCTGCTTTACTGAAGCCTTTCCCCCCAGTAAACTGGAGTACTCACAGGTTCATAAAGAAGAACTGAACCTCAGGTAAGCTATAAAAAGAAACAAAACTGTGGTGCTACTACTTTGTGAAAATTTTAAAAAAGCAGATACCCAACTTTCAATTTCATTTATAAAGTATAAAAAATTAAAAGTATACAACGTAGTTCATTGCTATCCCAACAATTGCCTTTTAAGATCAAATAGTTGATTACCTGTTTCTAAACTTGAATTATTGTCTAATGAGTAAAAACTGAAGGCAAAGAGTGTTTTCTGGAACTGGAAGAAAAAGAAAAGTCTCCCAGATTCTGTGGTGATCTCTAGATAGCACACTAAATGATAAGGGTCTTTTTTTCAGATCACCTAAAGAAGTTGGAGAACCCTGCCTTCCTCTTATCCTCTAAGTTAGTTCCATATTTCTCAAGGAGGACAAAGTTTACAAATACCAGCACTGAACAAAGTTCAATCCCTTTGAAATCGTTATTTTAATACTGTAGAATTTATGTCTTATATTTAAATGGTGACTTATTCGTTATGAATACATTTTTAGGGGCTGAGAAATTATAATATATGCCTTAACTCTGCTCTGTAGAATGTGTGTAAGCTTGAGTGAGGAGTTTTCAATCATTAGGATAATGTAAGAAATATAAGATAAAGCTTTCAAATATATTATTTTTCTAGTAATACTTAGAAATAGCCACCTGAAATATTGGTCTGAATGAAAAGACATCAAACATAAGGTAACTTTACTTGCTAAATAGGATATATTTTTTAAATAGACAAAATTTTCTAAATGTGTCTTTCTCCTTTGATTTTCTGAGACCAGAGCTTGTATAACTGACACCATAATTCTGTAAGATTGTTGTATGACAAGATTTAAAATGATTTCATCATAATCTCTCCCCACCCCACACTCCCTGCTCCCTTCCCTGAGTCCCTTTCCTCCAAGAGTGTTGATAGAAAAAGAGTTGTGTTTTAATGTTTTATTTTCTTAAAAACCAAATGTTATACTTTATGTTCAGATAATTGTGGGCATAGAAATGTAAGTGCAACAAAAGACTAAGGCACCATTTTTCTTTCCTTTCCTTGCTTGCCTTGAGGACGGAAGCTAACACCACAACAACAGCCAGGGTGGCCGGTCAGTCTTACGTCTCTTGGCAAGGTATGTATCAGCCACTTTCACTGGGTACTCTGTGTCACAGGCTGACAAGCCACAGACTTCAAACCCTGCTAGGAAAGAACTTTCTTCTTTTAGAAATACAGAAATAAAGGCACAACAGTACCTTACATGGGGAAACTGGTAAATACCTGAAAACCTTAATGATTTAGGAATAATTTTGAAGTGTTCTGGATTATTTTACAACAGAAGTCACCTATTTCTTGATTATGACACAAGAATATATTTTTATGGTTGTCTTCTTCCCAGCCAAACCCATAATCATACATTTCCTCCATTTAATAATCCCTGGTCCAGATGTCTGAGTGTTTACATATCAGCTTGACTTACCAGCAGATATTGCCTTAGGAATTGTATTTATTTTTAAAATGATGGATCAAATGGATCAATACGGTGTTTTCAAAGGCGTAATCCTTGAAAATGACTCATTTGGGGATAACATTGTAAGCAAAAGCACTGGGAAATATATTTCAAGAGTAAGAAACATATCAAGGATTATAGATTCTTCTATAATAATGTGCAAAATCAGAATATCATTTGTGTTATCTAGATACAACATTAGTATCTAGAATGGCCCCAATGCTGATGAGTGGTTGGAAAGGCTTTTTACACCAGGAAACACCATTCTCTGAGACACTAGTTTAAGTGGGGCTGGTGGTGGGGAAAACGCAACAGCTGGATTGGCAGGCAGACTCTAACCCTCACTACTGTTTTTTTGCGGGGAGGAGTGGAACAGGAGTCTGCTACACAATGATGTCATAGACACGGCCCACTCGGCCCAGCCACTCCCTCACAGCCTGGCGAACTCTGATGTCGGTCACATGACAGGTCAGCTGACTGATGCACGGGAACACTGCAGGCTGAAGGGCCGTGAAGGTTTGGTCTGGGAGAATCTGAATCTGATTGAGAACTGTTAGCACCATGTTGGTCCATGCCTAAGAGAAAGGATTTAAGAAAATTAGTGGCTTCCCCGCCTTGGTTTTATTTGAACACTTGAGTGTGGCCCTGCCAATGTGGATTTTTTTTTTTACAGGCTTTAGTTGCAATAAATTAGTTTTCACTTATTTAATATGCCTATAATAAACTGTTGTTTTAACTTCACATACATAAAGATGGGCAGAGGCTCACCTTATTTTCAGCTTTCACAAACTACTAAGCTCCTGCTTATTCCTTAAAGAAAAACATACATTCTTGCCATCTTATAATGAGATTTCCATAGGCCATTAATCTCCAACTCAGTTTTTGATGCACCATAGAATTACATCAAAGCCTCCCTGAAGAATGAGAATTTTTATGTGTACAGGATGGACTAGAAAAACTTGAGATGAAAACAATTTGAAAAAAAATTTGTTGGCATAACCACACGATATTCACTTTGCTTTTTCTTTAATATTAATGCTTCATAACTACAGAATTTCCTCAGTGCCATTTTCAAATGACACACTAAGAACTCAATGCCATTTAAAGCTTGCTTTTTTTTTAAGACAGGGTCTCTCTATGTTGTCCAAGCTGGAGTGCAATGGCGCCATCTCGGCTCACTGCAACCTCTGCTCCTGGGATCAAGCAATATTCCTGCCTCAGCCTCCCAAGTAGTTGGGATTACAGGCATGTGCCACCTCGCTCAGCTAATTTTTTTATTTTTTTTTTTTTTTTTTTTTTTTTTTTTTGGTAGAGATGGGTTTTGCCATGTTTGTCCAGACTGGTCTTGAAAAAGCCTACATTTTATAAGCTTAAGCCTCACTTATTTCTACAGGTAAGTTCCTCATTCTCAATAATCTACATTACAATGGAGAAAAGCAGTTCCTGAAATTATCTGAGAGTAAAATTCCAGCTTCATCATGACATACTGATACTGGCAGATCCTGTACTTAGGCTCAGAGAGCCCTCTGATTTTGGAGGGAAATCGTTTCATGCTCCCTACCTGTTTCTGTAAATATTTTTTTTTTTTTCCTGCTCATTTATTTACTCAAGTACAGTTTACATTCAGATGCAAATGTAAATTTGAAATTACAAATTTAACTAAACCATGAACTGAATTCTTTAATTCAACTTTTTTTGTCTTATAATAAGAAATACTGGACTTCGTGAAGCCCTAAATGTCTTATTTTTTTACTCAAATTTTTTTATTGCCTTTTAGGTTTGGGGGTACATGTGAAGAACATGCAAGATTGGTGCATAGGTACATACATGGCAGTGTGGTTTGCTGCCTTCCTCCCCATCACCTATATCTGGCATTTCTCCCCATGGTATCTTTCCCCAACTCCCCACCCCCCCGCTGTCCCTCCCTATTTCCCCCCTACAGACCCGTGTGTGATGCTCCCCTCCCTGTGTCCATGTGTTCTCATTGTTCAACACCCACCTATGAGTGAGAACATGAGGTTCTGTAAATCTTAGCCTGTATGTGCCCAATCTGCAAGTGGGGCCCATCTAGTATTGGAAACCCAGCCTCCCACCCACCTCCTCTAGGCCGCAGGACTGTACCTGAATCTGTGCTTCTGCGTCTCTCACCGAGACACTAAGGGAACTCCCAGTGGAGCCTGAGCGGGGCCTCTTGTCCTGCCGCAGCAGCTCCGGGCCCGCACTGAAGGAATGCCGCATTTGCCCTTGATCCATCAAGTGCTGGGGACGCTGAAGCAGCGGGGACTCCTGGCCCCTGGGGCCCAGTGGCTCTCCTTTCTTCTCCACTTTGACGTCTTTGGGGAACGCAGGCAGGTTGTGCTGCTGTTTCCTCTTTTTGTATTCGGTCATCAGCTTTGAAATGGTCTTGTCGGCCGCCATGGTGTAGATTTTGTTCCCCGCGTTCTCCCACCACTCCTTCTTGCGGCTGGGATCCTTCTTCTCCACCTTGGGGCTTGGGGGCAGCAGCAGGTCCCCACCTCCAGCCTTCAGGCTCAGGGACTCACCTGTGTGCTCCCGAGGCTGGCTTCTGTCGTCCTCGGAAGGGGTTTCTTTCCCAGAGAAGCCCCCAGTGGAGGGGGTGGATGACTCGGACTGGAAGGAAGGCAGGATGAAGAACGGGTCACCTTTGAAGATGGGAGGCTCCTCCATACAGTTCTCCAGGTCCAAGTGCATCTGGATGTAGTTGTTGCACAGTTCCATGCACAGCTTGTGCAGCCTCTTGACCAGCCATACCCAATCCGCGTTGCTGACGGGCTGGACGCTGAGCAAGGGCATCCGTGCCCGCCACTGTCTCTTCTCCTTGCCTCTCGGGGGGCTGACCTGGGCGGTTTCCTCAAAGATGTCTTCATCCTCAGATGAACACTGCTGGGAAGAGTCTGTGCTTCTCTCATCCTCCTCAAAAAGGACCTTCTTCACTTGCTCGGCAGTGATGGTTTCTTGATTGGTGAGAACGGCACACACCAGGGCGTGGAAATAGATGTTAAAGCTCATGGCAGACTGGCGGTAGAGGTTGGCGGCGCCCCCGATGCCAGACACTTTCTTCAGCAGGCACTTCAGCCCAGGGCTGGTGTCAAACTCTCTGGCCGTCCTGTAAGAGTCCAGCAGCAGGTCGAATATGACTGCCAAGTTCTGCATGGAGATGTATCTGAGGAAGCCAGCCAGCTTGGCCTCTGGCACTTGGATCGTCTTCTCCTCTCCAGGAGAGGGGCCTTTGACGAACTCTTCTAACAAGATGTCATATAAGTTCTGCAGTAACACCTGGTGAGACAGCAAGCTCACCACAATTTCCCTGAAAGACACGCTTCAAGTGAAAAGAGAGGGACTGATTAATGGTTTTCTGCCTTATAGCAGGTGTTTCAAAGCAATATAGACATTACCCATTTCAGAATGATACATGCAGATTTACAAACTAAACTACCTGGACTCAAATGTTTTCCATGAAAAAGGGCATGCTTTTGGGGGCATTATGCGATAACCATTTTAATCACAACTAGTGGAATTCTTAACACTCTAAAAAATTCCCAAAGTTATAGAATATAAAAGTTATGATGCCAAATTAACAATTATCAAGATATATTTGTGAAAAGACATCACTGTTGAAGGGGGCTGGAGGCTCTTTTTGCCTGTGGGGACATCGAATATATTTTGGGTTTTCTATAACCCATCACATGAGGTCAGGTGTGGAATTTTCTATTTGGAGTGTCCTGTTGGAACTCAAAAATTTCAGATTTTGATGGATATTGGTGTTAGGGATGCCCATGTACTGTGTTTGCCAAACAAACATTTTAATTCACCAGTGTGGTTCAAGGTGGTTTTGGTTTACAGTTTTTTCTTTTCACTGCTCTTAGAATTTTATGGAAATAGTTTAGGCTATTATATTGCCAATTAATTCCCCAAACTGGATAATTATAAAATTATGACAACCGTTATTAAAAATATTAATTTCAAAGGTCTAGACATGTTAATAACATTTTGCTTTATGTCTATGACTTTGGAGGTAAAAATTTGTATAAGTAGGAAAAGTGCTTTTCTAACAGCAGAAAACGACAAATCCTACATAAATCTTAATGTTAACTTTGCCCTTCGAGTGGTCCTCACTGAGGGAAAACACGTTACTCTCAAGATGAAATGAGTCACGAAGGACTGTTATTCAAAAACGGTAACCTTTTAAAATAAATCAGTTGAACATAAAAGTTACTACTTCAACTTTTTTATGTACACAATTCACTGGTATTAAGTATATTCATAATGTTGTGTAACCATTACTGCTCTCAATTGCTAAAACTTTTTCATCATTTTTAATCAACTTTTTTCATCAAATTTAGTTTTTAATTTTTATTTATGTATTTATTTTGAGACGGAGTGTCGCTCTTGCTGCCCAGGCTGGAGTGCAATGGAGCGATCTCACCTCATTGCAATCTCTGCTTCCTGGCTTCAAGCGATTCTCCTGCCTCAGCCTCCCGAGTAGCTGGGATTACAGGCTTGTGCCACCACACCTCGCTAAGTCTGTATTTTTAGTAGAGACAGGGTTTCTCCATGTTGGTCAGGCTGGTCTCGAATTCCTGACCTCGGATGATCCACCTGCCTTGGCCTCCCAAAGTGTTGGGATTACAGGCGTGAGCCACCATGCCCAGCTTTCATCATTTCTAACAGCAACTTTGTACCCATTAAACAAACAACTCCTCATTCCCCAGCCCCAGCTCCTACTTAAGCTACCAGTAAACCTGAATACAGATTCTGAAAAAGAGGACTCCAAAAGTTTATACCATCTTGGTCCAAAAGCTACTAATTTGTTCTAATGTTTTCTGTCCATACTATAGAAGTGAACTAAAAAGGGAAAGTTTCTACTGATCAGACAAGTCTGTCTCCATGATACCATAACATCCTTAAGGGACAGGACAGTATCGTATTCATCTTCTTGTCCCCAGTAACTGGGAAAATGGTGGGAGTAGCAGCATTCAGTAAGTCTCCAAGTCAAAGAACGAAGGCAGGCTGGCTCTGGGCACAGGCTGCCTGAAGGAAATGCTCCCCTGAGAAATGGCTCTGACATTTGAACCCCACTCCCCTAGGATCCTGGATCCCTGACGCAGGAAGCACCACCAGAGGGGTGAGTTTAATCAGCCTGGTGAAGGCGTGAACCCCTTCGCTCACAACACTGTTTTTTTTTATTACCTTCCCTGAGAAATGACAAGCCATTTTCCAGCCAGCACCTAAAGAGGGGCCAATGCAAAGCCACGTCTGAATTGTGGGGTATTTTCATCCACTGAGATCATTTTTTTGGATGCTTTAAGAGACACAGCTGTTAACTACGCATATAAGAAAGGGCAGCAAACCCCCTTTACCTTAGGTTTGGGTTAAAGGATGCAGTGACAAGAAGGAGGGAAATAATACTGAAGAGATCAAAATTTCAGAAAGATAAGGGAAAAGTGAAACAATTTTATAGCTATCCAATTCCTAATCATCTATGCTGACGGGAGATAAAGATCTCAGACAAAATCGACAAATTCAGCATACCCAAGGTTTCAAGCTTTTTCTCAGCCCATCTTTAAGATGTCTGCCTTCCTCCTGCTGCTTAAGGGCAAAGGAAAGCCAGTCTCCAGATTGGCTAATTGAGAGTTAATTGCATAACAAGTGGTTGACTTAAAACATGCTAATGTATATCTTAATGCGCTAATTAAGATGTGGATTGAGTAAAGCTTGGGGCTATCAACGTCAAAACTATTAAATCCAAACAAACCAACACAGGTTTCTCTATTTAAATGCTGTAATCTGGTTTTAGGATTACATCTAAAGGATGCACCTGGCCGGCATATAATCTTCCATAGATCTTCCACTCATCTTCCACTACATCCTATGCTAAACTAAGAATTGCCCCTGCAAATAAGAGTCCAATCTAAGAAAGCAAAGCATACAGAGTTTGGCTGAGAGCTCTTAAAGAATGTTAAGGAATGTCTTTTGGCTCAGTGGCCAGTGGCACTGGTGAAAGAATTTAATGAGCTTATTTTGTTTTGCTTAACTATGAGTGGGTAATTGCGCATTAAAAGGGCTAAGTAAATGTATGAGCCACAATGGTATATTTTAAGACTGTAACCTTTTAAAACCAATAACGAAAGGGTATTAGGCGCTTCTGCTATATTTTATTTATGATTTGAATACGGCCTATTATTCCTTTTTCCTGCCTTCTCATCAAAAATGTTTCAGCAAGAAAAATTGGCTAAATGTGAATGAGAAATAGGAAAAAAGAAAACTGAAATTCTGAAGTAAAGCAATGCTTAAAGATGTCAAAGGATTGCACAATTTTGGTATATAAAATAAAAAATGACCACTTAAAAATTAGTGACTGGTGGTTGAGGGATACAGGGGATAGAACTGGGGAGGAGCTCATGGGACTTTAGTAAAGTTCTATTCCTGAATTTGGAATTTTATTTTTTATTCATGCTTCGTAACTTTCGAACATTCCACATTTTTTTTGATATGTACGAATAATTGACCAAAAATTATTAACTATAAATTTCACTCATGTGATTGTTATATTAATCAAACTGCCCCGATAGTTCAGCTACTTTTTTTTTTTTTTTTTTGAGATGAAGTCTCATTCTGTCACCCAGGCTGGAGTGCAGTGGTGTGATCTCAGCTCACTGGAACCTCTGCTTCCAGGGTTCAAGTGATTCTCCTGCCTCAGCTTCCTGAGTAGCTGGGATTACAGGAATGAGCCAGAATGCTTGGCCCAATCACCCAAAGCTTGTGAAATGATACCACTATCTTTGTTTGGGCTGCTGTAACGAAATACCATAGACTTGGTGGCTTACAAACAACGGAATTTGGTTTCTTGTAGTTCTGGAGGGTGGATGTCTGAGATCAGGGCGCCAGCATGAGTGGCTTTTGGTGAAGGCCTTCTTCCAGACTACAGATGACCATTTTCATGGATCCTCACATGGCAGAAAGAGGGCAAGGGAGTCGTCTCTTCTTTTAAGGGCACAAATCCCATTCATGAGGGCTCCACACTCATAACCTGATTTCCTCCTGAAGTTCCTACCTAACATCATCACATTGGGAGTTAGGAGTATAAAACACATCAATGTGGGAGGACACATTCTGTCAACTGCACCAACTCTCTCCTTGAAACGGCAAAGGACAGAGGCCTTATGCTCAACCAGACCCAGTTTTATTTTGTTTTATTTTTGAGATGGAGTGTCACTCTGTTGCCCAGGCTGGAGTGCAATGGCATGATCTTGGCTCACTGCAACCTCCGCCTCCTGGGTTCAAGCCTCCTGAGTAGCTGGGACTACAGGCACACACCACCATGCCTGGCTAATTTTTGTGTTTTTAGTAGAGACAGGGTTTCACCATGTTGTCCAGGCTGGTCTCGAATTCCTGACTTCAGGTGATTTACCTGCCTTGACTCCCAAAGTGCTGGGATTACAGGCATGGGCCACTGCACCCAGCCCAGATTCTGGCTCCACCACTTTGCAGTTGTGTGTCCTTGGGCAAGGGACCCAAGATTCTCTGTGTGCACCCTCAGTGGGGAAATGGGAGTAGGAATACCTATCCACTGTGTTCCACACACAGCACTCAAATAATGATTACTGTTAGTGTGTCAGAAGTTTAAAAGTGGGAAATGTTGGTCATTGCCTTCATCCTCAAGTCTAGGAACAGTATTCTTATGGGAGGATGATAGTATTTAAAAAGGGCAGGTTTCTTGGGGCAGAGCATAGACCTTTTTGTCTCCCAGTAGCCATTATTGTTCCTGGGGAAGTTTATGTACTTCTCACTGAAACAATCAAAACCCTGCCTCAGTTTACTTTTTCATTTTTTAATGAGACAGGGTTTTGTTCTGTTGCCCAGGCTGGGCTACAGCCTTGACCTCCTGGGCTCAAGTGATCCTCCCACCTCAGCCTCCTGAGTAGCTGGGACTACAGGCATGAACCATCACACTTGGCTAAATTTTTATTTTTACTTTTTTGTAGAGATGGATCTCACTATGTTACCCAGGCTGGTCTCGAACTTCTGAGTTTAAGTAATCCTCCTGCAGTTCTGGGATTACAGTTGTGAACCATTGCCCCTGGCCTATTTTTTTTTTAAGATTATAAGTGTGTGACATTATGGGCTGGGTTGTATTCCCCCAAATTCCTATGTTGAAGTCCTAACCCCTGGTACCTCAGCATGTGACTATATTTGGAGAAAGGGATCTTTAAAGAGGTAATTAAGTCAAAACAAGGTCATGAGGGTTAGTTTTAATTCAATATGACTGGTGTCTTTGTCAGAAGAGGAAATTCGGACATAGACCTGTACAGAGGAAGTCCATGCTAAGACACAGGAAGAAAATGGTTATCTACATGTCAAGGATGTAGACCTTGGAAGAAACCTTCATATCTGGTGCCGGAACTGTGGGAAAGACAGTTCTGTTGTTCCAGTCACCCAGTCTGTGGTACTTTCTGTGGCAGCCCGGGCAACCTAATGTGTATGAAATGTGGGGAATTTAGTTACAAGGCTAACAGTTTCTGTGAAAATCTTTGCTAAATGACTCCACAAATGTTTTCAGTATTCCTGGCCAAAGCCTGGCTTACAATCTTGGAAGTGAATGAACATTCTTATTTATAAGCACCCTATGAGTTGAGAACTTAGGTACTTACCTTTTCTTGGTGTGTCCATTTGGTTTTTCATCAGGAGGCAGCTCAATAATGAGCTGGCAGGACTGAGCATGGTCAAAGTTGTTTGGCGTCTTTGGTGAGCACTGGGTGTCCAGCATAAATACCTGTGTGGGTGTGCCAAGGTACAGTTCAGAACTCAGAATCCTCTGCTTGACCTGTCAGGGATCAGCTGGATGACCCTGGGCAAGTTGAGCCTCATCATAAAATGATGATAATCGTTTCCTATTTGATATGCTTGTTGAGGGAGTTAATTGATATGTGTGTACTACATATGCAAAGCATTAGAACAGAGGAGCAAATAATCAGGGTTAGCCGTTGACACTAATACTAGCAACACTAGTTCTACCATGTGACAATTCATTATACCCCAAATAGCAAGTATTGACACTTAATATTAACTAAGAGTAAATAAAGACGGGCTTTGGAAAAGATTATCTCTGATTTTTGAGCCTGTTTGTTATCATACTCACCACAGGGATGAAAAAATGAGTTAGGACTTGTCAGGATTCCTGATGGTTACTGATAGGGCCACAGTGCTCTACTAAGCATGGCAGATGTGACTAAGAAAATAGTGAGAACTTATTGGCTCTCTGACCAACCCTGCCCCCAAATTTTATTTTACATGACTTAAAATACTTCCACTACTTTCCTCTGGAAAGATTAGAATATATATATATATTTATTTATATTTGAGACAGGGTCTTACTCTGTGGTCCAGGCTGGAGTGCAGTGGTGTAAGCATGGCTTACTGCAGCTGTGACCTCCCTGGCTCAAGTGATCCTCCCACCTTAGCCCCTTGAGTAGCTGGGACCACAGGTATACACCACCATGCCCAGCCATTTTTTAAACACTCTTTTTCAGCCAGGTGTGGTGGCTCATGCTTATAATCCCAGCACTTTGGAAGGCCAAGGCAGGTGGATCACAAGGTTAGGAGTTCAACACCAGCCTGGCCAACACAGTGAAACCCCAACTCTACTAAAAATACAAAATTAGCTGGGCATGATGGCACATGCCTGGAATCCCAGCTACTTGGGAGGCTGAGGCAGGAGAATCGCTTGAACCTGGGAGGCAGAGGTTGCAGTGAGCCGAGATCACATCACTGCACTCCAGCCTGGGAGATACAGTGAGACTCTGTCTCAAAAAACAAACAAACAAAACCACATTTTTTCAAGTTTGAGGTCCATGTGCAGGATATGCAGTTTCTTTTATAGGTAAATGTATGCCATGGTGGTTTATTGCACAGATCAATCCCATCACCGAGGTATTAAGCCTAGCATCCATTAGCTATTCTTCCCGATCTTCTGCCTCTCCCATCTCCCACAGGTGCCCAGTGTGTGTTGTTACTTGCTATGTGTCCATGAGTTCTCATCAATCAGCTCCCACTTATAAGTGAGAACATGTGATGTTTGGTTTTCTGTCCCTGCGTTAGTTTGCTGAGGATAATGGCCTCCAACTCCATGTTCCAGCAAAGGACATGATCTCATTCCTTTTTATGGCTGCATAGTATTCCACGCACCACATTTTCTTTATCCAGTCTATCACTGATGGACATTTAGGTTGATTCCATGTATTTGTTATTGTAAATAGTGCTGAGATGAACATACAGTGCATGTATCTTTATAAATGGAATGATTTATATTCTTTTGGGTAAATACCCAGTAATGGGATTGCTGGGTCAAATGTTATTTCTGCCTTTAAGTCTTTAAGGAATCACCACACTGGCTTCCACCATGGCTGAACTAATTTACACTCCCACCAACAGTGTAAAAGTGTTACTTTTTCCCTAAAATCTCACCAGTATCTGTTGTTTTTTGACTTTACTAATAGCCATTCTGAGTGGCCAGAGATGACATCTCATTGTGGTTTTGATTTGCATTTCTCTAATGATCAGTGATGTTGAACTTTCTTTCATGTTTGTTGGCTGTATGTATGTCTTCTTTTGAGAGGTGTCTGTTCAAGTCCTTTGCCCACTTTTTAATGGAATTGTTTTTTTTCTTGTAAATTTATGTAAGTTCCTTGTAGATTTCATAGAGATGGACTCTTAACAGTGTTGCCAAGGCTGGTCTTGAACTCCTGGGCTCAAGTAATCCTCCTGCCTTGGCTGCCCAAAGTGCTGGCATTACAGGTGTGAGCCACTAGGCTCAGCAAGATTAGAATATTTTTTAAATACTTTCTTTCAAAATCTTTTAAGAATTCTCAGATTTTCAAATAATGGGTTATTTTAAGAGTGAATACAGAAGGAAAATTTGGGATTGAGGAAGAAATAGAGAAGTATTAAGAAGTGAAAGATTGGCCAGACGTGGTGGCTCATGCCTGTTATCCCAGCATTTTGGGAGGCTGAGGTGGATGGATCACTTGAGGTCAGGAGTTTGAGACTAGCCTGACCAACATGGCGAAACCCTGTCTCTACTAAAAATGCAAAAATTAGCTGGGTGTGGTGGTGCACACCTGTAATCTCAGCTACTCGGGAGGCTGAGGCAAAAGAATCACTTGAACCTGGAGGTAGAGGTTGCTGTGACCTGAGATCATACCACTGCACTCCAGCCTGGCAACAGAGCCAAGTCTCAAAAAAACAAAACCAAAACCAAAACAAAACAAACAAACAAAAAACAGAAAAAGAAGTGAAAGGTTCACTAAACAGTTCTCTCCTGTTCTTCTCCATTAATGATCTACTTCAGAAGAAGATTCCATTGGCTTTTTCATATTCTTGTTGTATGACTAGATGTGCACATTCTTAAGCCAGACGTAACAACTGCTTATGTGGTGAAGCTATCCCTGTGGAGGGCCACCTTGTTGGTTTCTCTGTTCTCACTTGTAACTACACCGTTGCTGCAGCAGCCACAGCTGCCATGCTGCTAGGAGTAGCTCTTTGTTGCAGCCTTACAACCTTTCTTCTGTCCCAACTTCTGCAGACTGGCCATGGAGGCTTCATGGGATGTGCTCCCTTCCTTCAGAACCAGCAGAATCATCAAGTCCCAGATGTTAGGCATGTGTTCAGCAGAGGTGTGAGAAACCAAAGGTAGAAGATTCTTGTCCCACTACCTCAAGATAGCTGGGAAAAGCCCTGTGGAAGCCAGACCTGGCCAAGAAACTTCTCAACTAACTGAGCTCTTTACATGGGTAATCAGGGAATCTGATTATCAGTGTGTTAAGAGAAAATTTAAAGACTTTAAACAGATCTGGTAGAGAAAAGGGGCCTTGCCTTTTGAGTATAACTTCCAACTCTTTTCTTCAAATTTAACTCAAATGTGACAGTTCAATTACATTTGTAAAATTTGTTTAATATTTTAAAACCACATCATGTATACACATTCATATGCATATGCAAAATAGTGTCTGCATACGAAGACCCAGTTCAGGCATGTCTGTTGCTATTACGTGATGGAATATGTAGCCAGTCAATGGTTGTTGGGAATTTTGTCCATTTCCATTTTTCACTACTATGAACAGCATCGTTATGAATATATGTGAATTCAGGGACAGCATTTAGTTGGACTGCTGCTTAGTGTCACATATAGGGTTTCCTAGAGGTGGACTGCCGTGTCACTTTAGGAGCTGAGGGCATATCTGTAGCTCGTGACACTACTGTTTTCTGATATTTCTGTGATTCAGTTACCTACTGATTCAACAAAAACATACTAAGCATCTTCTCTAGGCCTCGCTCTAAAAATACCAAGGTAAATATATAGAATATGTTCTCTGCTCCTCAGGAGTTAACAACCAAATTTTGTGACTTCTTACATGTGTCTCAAGAAGAAAAAGCCATTGGTATATCATGATTCCTGTATGAGTGACCACACTTGAATTGTAATGCTACATTCAACTTAAATTTAAGAAGCAACGTTTAAATGTTAAGTACTGTGTTGTGAATTAAAGATATAAGGAAAAAACCCAAATGAGTTTGGCATTGTTAGGCACTCACAGTCTAGCAGTAACAATAATATTTAAGTGAATACTTACAGGTAGCTCAAGCAAGTTAGGTATAAGGGACAGTGACCACGCTGCTGAAATGATTCTATTGGATCTGGGCACTGGTGGGGGCTACAAACGAGAGATGATGGAGAGGAGGTAATGATGTTGATTGGGTTCAAGTCATTCCTGGCAAAGAATGGTACTGGCAAGAGTTGGGAGCCACAAGGTGTATGTCCCTCAGGGAATGAAAGGCAATTTGGTGATGCAAAACCTTCAAGGGAGGTCTCCTAACATGCATTTCAAGTTTCTAGAGCCCTTGAGATCAAAAGCCCCTGCCCTTACCTGCTGGGCCATGGCTCGAATGCGCCAGTATTCGGCCTCGGCACTTGGGGAGGAGGATGGGGCTGCCACCCGCACCTGGCAGCCTTCCCCACTGAAGCTCTCCGTGCCGCTGTGGAAGCAGCCCAGCAGGTCCTGGGGAGAAACAGCAGATGCCCACTGAGTGCATCTCACTGAGGCCCAGCCTTGGATCTGAGATCATCACTGTCTGAGACAAAAGTACTGACCCAGCAACTTCTTTCTCACTCTCTGCAAGATCTAAAGTGAGTCCGCCTGCTTAGAGGAGGCAGAACCCACCAACATGACAAGGCATCAGGGAGCTAGATACAGTTAGAATTGCTCCAGGGAGGGCTTCCTCCCAGTGATGTACCTTCACTGGCTTGAGTGTGGCAGAGAACGCATCTTGCAGTGCACAGCAGGCAAGCCTCCACATCTCCTCAGTGAACACAGGGCCTGCTGTCACAAGGACATATCTGCCAAAAGAAACAAGCAAAGGAGTCTTGAATCCCATTTTGTTGCCACAAAATTTAGGCTGTATAGACTCATGCATAGATTTATTCTGCCGTTCCCTGGAAAGTCTCCCTGTCTCTCAACCATCTAGTATATTCTATTGTCAAAATACTTCCTAAACCATTTTAATATAGAAATATCAATGATCCCCTCTACAAATAGGCCAACCATTAACCTTAGACTTGTATGCAAGACTGTATATATTCTGTACTCAGTTTTGGATTCTAGATGCATTTTCCATCACTCCTCTCCAACTAACAAGCAAAACCAAATCCCAAACTCTTTTATTGTCACTTATAACTCTCATCTCAATGCTATTTGTTCATTCTGTTTTTCTGCTTGGAAAGTCCCCACCTTCCCCATGCTTGCCTACCTTAGAGGATGTGACCAGTGTCACTGCCACAACAAGACCCTTGCTGGCTGCCCTACTGCCCAGGCCTCCTGTCCTTTCTTGGCACTTAGCTGTTTCTTCTCACTGTCACCATTTTTCATGTGACCCTCTCTCTTGCTGTGTCATTTTGAATAGGCTCTAAGCTTCTTGAGGGTAGGGCCTTTAATTTATATTACTTCCTCTGAACCAGAGTACTTAAATTTGTTTTGTTAACTTTAATTTTCATGGGTACATGGTATATGTATATTTGCATGGGGTGCATGAGATGTTTTAATGCAAGCATGCAGTATATCATAATCACATCATGGAAAATGGGCTACCCATCCCCTCAAGTATTTGTCCTTTTTGTTACCAGCAATCCAGTTACACTCTTCGTTATTGTAAAATGTACAGTACTGTTGACTATAGTCACCCTGTTGTGCAATGGAATACTCGGTCTTATTCATTCTTTCTAACTACTTTCTTTGTACCCATTAACCATCCCCATCCCCTGCTACCCTTCGCAGCCTCTGGTAACATCCTTCAATTGTTCAATTGTTTTGATTTTTAGCTCCCACAAATAAGAACATATATGATATTTGTCTTTCTGTGCCTGGCTTATTTCACTTAGCATAACCTCTCATTCCCTTTTTGTTGTAAATGACAGAATCCCATTCTTTTTTAATGGCTGAATAGTACTCCATTGTGTATGTGTACCACATTTCCTTTATGCATTCATCTGTTGATGGACATTGATAGGGTTCGGATGTGTCCCCACCCAAATCTCATCTTGAATTCCCATGTGTTGTGGGAGAGACCCAGTGCGAGCTAACTAAATCATGGGGCCAGGTCTTTCCCACACTGTTATAGTGAACAAGTCTCATGAGATCTGATGGTTTTAATGAGTTTTCCCTGAGCCAGTGTTATAGTTTCAGTTCAAGTCTGAAAGCCTGAGAACTGGGAGATGTCAGTCCAGTCCAGGGGCAGGAGAAGACTGATTTTCCTGCTCAAATGGTCAGTCAGGCAAAGGACCCTTTTACTCAGCATTTTTTTCTATTTTGGTCTTCAACTGATTGGATGAGGCCCACCCACATTAGGGAGCACCATCTGCTTTGCTGTCTCCCCCAGTTCAAATATTCTTCTCATCTAGAAACATCCCCAGAGACACACCCAGAATAATGTTTGACCAAGTGTCTGGGTACCCTGTGGCCCTGAACAAGCTGCTGCTTTGCCTGCCACCATCCACGTAAGATGTGACTTGCTCCTCCTTGCCTTCTGCCATGATTGTGAGGCCTCCCCAGCCATGTGGAGCTGTAAGTCCATTAAGCCTCTTTTTCTTCCCAATCTTGGGTGTGTCTTTATCAGCAGCACGAAAATGAACTAATACATACAGACACTTAGGTTGCTTCCAAATTTTGACTATTGTGAACATGGGAGGGCAGATATGTCTTTGATATACTTATTTCTTTTGAGTATATACCCAGCAATGTGATTGCTGGATCATATGGTAGCTTTATTTTTAGTTTTCTGAGGAACCTCCAAACTTCTCCATAGTGGCTGTACTAATTTGCATTCCCACCAACAGTATATGAGGGTTCCCTTTTCTCCATACACTCTCCAGCATTTGTTATTGCCTGTCTTTTGGATAAGCTATTTTAGCTGGGATGAGATGATATCTGATTGTAGCTTCAGTTGGCATTTCTCTTATGATCACTGATGCTGAGCACCTTTTCATCGGCCTGTTTGCCTTCTGTATGTTTTGAGAAACTGAACCAGAGTACTTTGTAAAATGCCTTACACAATATGCATTTTCTGACTAAACACTGAAATGAAGAATTGTTAGCATATAGTCATTTTTAATTACAAATGTCTACTTACAGAAAGCAATACAAAAAGTAGATTGCTACCACAAAGACAATGAAATTTCTTTCAATTTTTAAATAAAAACTCCAGCTTGTGGAGAGCCAGGAAAGCTTTCGCTCACCTAATGCAGGAGCAGCCCACTCTGGAGATAGTTTCGGTGGGCTTGGCCACACAGGCAACCAGCAGCTCGAAGAGCTCCTTCAGCATGGTATTGATCATGCTCTCATACCTGATATCTATGGGAAACAGTAAAATTACGGTTTCATGCAGCTCTAGTGTAAAGAGATAGATTGAAATGGCCATCTACAGTAACAGAAAGTCTGAGTGACAAAAAGATATGCAAACATCTGGGAAAAAGAAATAGAACAATGAGAAAAATGGTCCTATCCCCCACCCCCCCCAAAAAAAAACAGTAAAACAATAATTTTCTTAGATTTTGACCCAACTGCAGCATGTTCCATCCACTTCTAGAGAAATAAAGTATGTAGTTCACTTTTATGTGTTGCTAGTATATCGGACTCTCACACAGAGCAAAGCAATACCTGGCCAGGAACACAGGGCTACCCTTAGGGATACGGTTACCAGTTACCACCTATAGTGGAAAAACTCACTTGTTTTCTTTTGCAGTTGATGTTTTTTTTTTTGCAGGGTAACTTGTCCTTGCTAAACTTAACAGAGACACAGTTTCTTTTATTAGCTTTGTTAGTCTCCACTGCGGTCAACATCCTCTTTAATTTCTCAGTCCTCTCCAGCAAGGGAAGCTCTTGTCTCACCATGATATTCTATGCCTTCGATTTATAAGCTCTGTGGCTAGCAGCAACGCTGCTTCTTCTCCCGGACACCCAGATCATCACACATGTGGCTCCACTGGGACCACAGCAGACATACCCCTGCCTCTAGGTCCCTCTCCATCTGTTGACTTCAGCTTACTGTCCATCAAACACTTTCACAGCCTTTACAAAGTGCCCTCAATATTAAAAAATTTCTCGTCATCACTAGCCTGTGAAGCTACTTCTTGCCCAAAATAGAAGTCTTTTTTAAAACCCTACTTCCTCCATTTAGCTTCCCCAGATGAAGCAGGGTGAAAGGAGATACGCCCCATCCCCCCAGGCTACAGGGATATTTCTTTTTTATTTATTATATACCTGAATTTGCCTCCCCTCTCCTAATGTCCAGGTATCCCAGACCTCTTATTAGGTATTTTCTTTCTCTCTCTCTTTCTCTTTCTCTTTTTTTCTTTTTCTTTTTCTTTTTTGATGGAGTCTTATGCTGTTGCCCAGGCTGGAGTGCAGTGGTGCAATCTTGGCTCACTGCCACCTCCGCCTCCCGGGTTCAAGCGATTCTCCTGCCTCAACCTTCTGAGTAGCTGGGATTATAGGCGGGTGCCACCACGCTTGGCTAATTTTTGTATTTTTATTAGAGACAGAATTTCACCATGTTAGTCAGGCTGGTCTTGAACTCCTGACCTCATGATCTGCCCACCTCAGCCTCCCAAAGTGCTGGGATTACAGGCATGAACCACAGTGCCCAGCCAGGTATTTTATTTTCTACCACACATATATTTTGAGCATTCTGCCTGAAAATTTTGTAGAAAACACATGGGTATGAGTTTTCTCTTTGAAAATCTTCTTTTAGAAGACTGGCACTGGCCAGGTTGTTCTATTTTAATAATTCCCAGGACAAAAAGCCTGCATTCGTATTTGCATTAGGTATTTACTACGCCCTTTTAGATGATGCTGTCTACCAAAGAAATACCCAGAATGAACTGCTCTGGCACTTTAGATACCTGAATGTAGAAAGCTTTGAATGTGCTCCACCACCAGCTCACAGGACAGTCCAATAGCGTGCTTGAAGTTGGCAGAGGCCACATCCCAGTAGGAATGGTCTTTATGGCTACGGCGGAGCCACAGGGACATCACAGGAAGGAGGAGGTGAACCACAGCATAGATACCGAACCCTGGTCCTAAAAAAGAAAAGTTGGTATAGCAACAACCTGTAATGTAAGGGAAGTGCTTTGTCTTTACCTGGCATTGTTGATCTCTTTTGAAGGATCCCTGCATTTGCTGAGAAAGTTCAGAAAAAAGAATTCACTGCTGATAGGGGAATATACGGTCTTCAGTGGCATTTTTCCTTGTTTCTGCAGGATTTTAGTTATGTGAGCAATATGTGAATATACGCCTAAAACCTTCAGATATTACTGGTAAAGCTAAAATATCACCTGGTCAACTCCAGGACCCAGACGTAAACACACAAATAAACATGTGTGTTTAAGAAAATACCCTTTGAAATCTAACTCTATATATTTATGAAATCTAACTACATGGGGCAATAGAGTTTTGTTTTTGTTTTATATAAATGAGATAATGTAAACTTTGCTCTGCACACTCATGTTTTTCACTGAACAAGAGTTGTTAGAACTGGCCACAGTAGTGCACATCTGTAATCTCAGCTACTCTGCAGGCTGAGATGTGAGGATTGCTTAATTAAGCCCAGTAGTTTGAGACTAGCTTGGGCAACATTGTGAAATCCCTTCTGTTTAAAAAAAAAAAAAAAAAATTAGCTGGGCATTGCGGAGTGCTGGTAGCCTCAGCAACTCGGGAGGCTGAGGGGAAAGGATCGCTTGAGCCCAGGAATTTGAGACTGCAGTGAGCTATGATCACACCACTTGCACTCCAGCCTGGGCAAGACCTCCATTTCAGAGAAACCCAAAAGTGTTAGAGATTATTCTTTGTCAAAAATGTGGATATTCCTCATTTACTTATCCATTACAAACTTTACAACAGTTTACTTATCCATTTCCATACTGATGAACATTTATGGTGTTTCTAATTTTTTTGTTTTATAGACTATGCTATGATGAAAATCATTGTGCTTCTTTGTTCAACATTGTGGAAATGTTGATGAATTTTTGAAGTTCTGATTACAAAAGCAGAGCATCCATTTTATACTATGCATGGAAATTACAAGAGAATACAAAAGAAAAAACTCACAAAAGGTAGTCACATTTCGATGTTTTCCCTTTCAGGACTTTTTGAATGCATGTGTGCTTGTATTTAGAATTGCATAAAATTTCATATAGTTGATATTGCATTCCATATTATGTGAATTTTAATGTAAGGCTTTGTAAATATTCACACCATTAAATATTATTCACAGATATTAATTTTAATGCCTGCAGAATATTTACATGCTTTTATCACAGTTAACTGCTTCCAATTTAGGGTGTTCATAACTTTGGTATTCAAGACATCTCAGCAAACATCTTATATGTACAATCTTGTCTTTATTATTGATAATTTCCTTAGATGACAGGCTCCTAGGAATAGAAGGGGATTAAATGCTCTTCACACGAATTTAGTGGCAATCAGTGTGAAAGCAGAAAATGGTACTGATCAGTAAAACAGATTTAGAAATAGTGGTATGCAATTAATTCTATAAAATAGCTACTCATTCTTTGATGGAAGGCTTTTAACTTTTTAACATGTGGGAGTATCTATGGTGGTTTGTTTAAAAATAATATAAACTTTGCTATGGATTTATGAAAGTGTCAATTGTCAAGTCTTCATTATGATGAGTACAAACCTCCTCTTAGTATGAAAGTGGCTTCATTTAGGGTCTGATTCTATTAGTAAAATACTTACATTTCTATAAAAAAAGTTTCTTTGATCTCGAGAAACTTGGATGAATAAATGTATATACTAAAATTGATTAATTCACAATAAATTCCTAAATGTCATTCTTTTCTTAGACTCTCAGGTGCATTGTATGAGGTGAGCACTCACTGTCTTTTTCCAAATCTAACCCACTATGACCCTTACACAAACTGGGTGTTGGTATCTTAATACTGCATATAATTCCAAGTGGAAGACCCAGTGAGCCAAACCAACAGCCCAGAGACCAAGAGCATATGACTGTGAGATTCTGCCACAAAGGAAGGCTGTGACCATGGAACACGGCAAAGCCAAATGGTTCATGGAGACATGGATACCACAGCCTTGGTCTGATTAACGTGGAGATCCTGCACATCCAAGTTACTGGCCACCACACAACATTTGTAACCAGACTTCTAGGAAGAAATGCAAATCAACAGGCCATATCTTAAACATCACTACCATTCGACAAACATTTATTGAGCATCTCTTACACGTGTGAAGCTTTGTACTAAGTCTAGGAAACAGTGAAAACAGGTAGACACCTGCAGAAATACCCTCCTGAAAAGAGTTATATGTATAAGCATCCCCCCAAATGACAGACAGAGAAATACTTACCTGGTGTTTTGGTCACATCTCTCAATAGCTCAAAGAGTAAATCCAAAGTTGGTGGTTGGTGCTGCCGTGGACAATTGGACACAGCTGCTGTCAGCTGCTCCAGCAGGATTATCCAGACTTCTATCAGACCTGGAAACCAAAAAGCAGACCAGTAGGAAATCCAGTTAGACATAATGGACAATCCCAAGATCTTATCAAACATTGTATGTAAACTGCCAAGTGCTATACAGATGTGAGCCATCACCCAATGTGTTGGTCTTCAGTGCCCATAGACGTGAGCAGATGATGATTTATGTGTTCTGCCAAAGTCAAGGGGAAAAATACCACTCACATTTCCTCCTCCTTCCCCTTTAATAAAAACGTGATAGAGTAAGGAAATTCTATGTTGAAATGGCTGTCAGGTTTCTAGGGAGCCGATGATCCCAAATCAATAAGATATCCACCCAGTTCCATCACCTTCATCTATCTTTTTTTAAAAAATGATTTTATGGTGGTAAATATGTAGGAGAGAAAAAGCCATTTTAGCCATTTCTACAAGTCCAGTTCAGTGGTATTCATGACAACAGTGTTGTGCAAGTATCACTACAGTTTCCAAAACATTTTCATCATCTCAAACCGAAACTTCGGGGCCATTAAACAGTTACTCTCCTTTCTTCCTCAATCCCATCCTTTGTACTTCTAATGTACTATAAATTATGGTTGATTTTGAGGCGTGAGAGTGATGTCATGCTTGTTTGTTGTCTTCAAAGAACACACACAGAAACATCTACAGATAAAATGCTATGTTGGAGATTTGCCTTAAAATATTGAGAAAGAGGAAGAGAGAGCAAAGATATACATGATCCAAGATTAGCCATAAATTGATAATAGTTGAAGCTTGGTGGTAAGAATATTATTCTGTTTAGTTCTGTATATTCTACATATAAGTATCTGTGTGTGTGTGTGTGTGTGTGTGTGTGTGTGTGTGTATATATATATATATATAGTATTCAAAATATACAAGTCTTGTATATGTTTGAAATTTCTATAAGGGAAAAATGTAATTATTTGCCTTTGAAAATGAGAGGAATAATATCTGAGAATGTATCAATGTTGAGGATTGTTTAATTTTTAAAACCAATTTAAAGCTGTTACTGATTTCTTTTTTGTTCTTATTTACTATGTCTACATAATAACTTTAAAGTCCTCGATATATTGATTATGTAGAAAACTTAGATAGGTGCTGGACTGAACTGTATCCCTTAGAAGATGGAGTTCCTAGAAAAAAAATCAAAGATTTGCACAAATGGGAAAGAGAATGCATGCCATTACATACACAAACGTTTACGCTGTTTTAAATAATGTATTACAGATAAACAACATTAGCTTCTGCTTATAATTATCTGGGTTGGAGGGTTAAAATGCTAAGTAAGGAGAAGGAGAGGAGAAGAGCTGCCGTCCTTCTGGGAGTGCAGACCCAGGGACTCTCAGAGCCAGGCCTATGACACCCTCTTTGAAGTTCTGCGGATCCTGGTGTCTCCGAAGCTCTTGGGCGCCACCATGTTCCCCTCATGCAGATGCTAGTGCCCTCAGTGGAAGCCACTTGCGAACATTTTATGGGAGATATCCTCAAATTGCTCATCATCACTTACCTACTGCACTCTACGTCATCTTTAAGAATAGCTACTCGTGGGAGGGGACTCAAGATGGCGCTGTGAGAACAACCCAGGATTGGAGCCCGCGTTGAATTCGCAAACGGTGAGTCAGTGCTGCATTTCCAGACTGATCTTTGTTGCCCACAGAACGGGGAAACTCCCAAGTATAAAAAGACACGGGACGCCAGGCAGTAGGTCTGCCTGGCGAAGCCGGCAGCCGGGGCGGCGGCGGCCGGCCCTACCCAGCAATCCCCACAGGGCGCGCTTGTCCGGGTGCCTTGTTGAACCGGCAACCTGAGACTTGAGAGGGCTGGACTTGAGACTGAACGAGACTTGCACAGTAGCCCAGCCCAGGGGATTGCAGGGACAGATCGTTTGGGATACCCAGTGGGACGAACAAAACCGCGATTTCAAACTATCCCAGGCAGACGGTCCGAGACGCTCTGTGGGGGAGGGGCGTCCACCACTACGGAGGCAACCTGCCCCAACTGATATACACGCCCACTGCTGAGGCAGCCAGCCGTTGCCGAGGCAACCCGTCCCTACTGAGATACACGCCCACTGCTGACGCAGCCTGCCGTTGCTGAGGCAACACGCTACAACGAAGAGACTCCGCCGCAGGGCGTGGCGGAGACCACAGCAGAGCCGGCAGGAACAGCGCGAATCACACAACAGCAGGGCGGAGCCTCGGCAGCCAAACAGTGGCTAGTCTGCCTTTGAGCTGGGCAGGACACCTGATCGGACATCCAAAAATAAAGCCCAAACCCCTCAACACAGAGCATTTGAGAAAAAAAAAAGGGTTGTTTAATGAGCTGTGTTGCAGCAGAATCAAACATAGCAGCCTAACAGCCCTGAATGAACAACAGAGTGCACAGCTCAGCAATTAAACCCCTATAAAGTACAAACTGTCTCCTCAAGCAGCTCCCTGACCCCTCTATATCCAAAAGACTGTCATTAGGCAGGCATCATCCTGGGACAAAGAGAGCAGAAAAAGAAACTGGTAGCATCCCTTGCTGTGCCACGGCTACTAGAGGTCCACCCCAGACAAGCAGGGTCTGGAGCGGACCTCAACAGTCGTACAGCGAAGGGGCTAGACTGGTAGAAGGAAAACCAAGCAACAGAAATACTTCATCATCAACATTCTGGGTGTCCACTCAGAGACCCAAACGAAAAGTCAGCAACTACGCAGACGACCAGCGGACAAATCCACAAAGATGGGAAGAAACCAGCGCAAAAAGGAGGAAAACACCCGAAACCAGAACACATCGCCTCCTAGAAAGGACCAAAACTCCTCACCAGCAAGGGAACAAAGCTGGACGGAGAATGACTGTGACGAAATGACGGAATTAGACTTCAGAAGATGGATAATGAGAAACTTTTGTGAGCTAAAAGATCATGTATTAAATCAATGCAAAGAAACTAAGAACCTTGAAAAAAGATTTGAAAAAAGATTCGAGGAAATGATAACAAGAATGGATACCTTAGAGAGGAATATGAATGAATTAAAGGAGCTGAAAAACATAATACGAGAACTTCGCGAAGCAAACGCAAGTTTCAATAGCCGAATTGACCAAGCAGAAGAAAGAATATCTGAAGTCGAAGACCAACTCAATGAAATAAAACGAGAAACCAAGATCAGAGAAAAAAGCGCAAAAAGGAATGAACAAAGTCTCCAAGAAATGTGGGACTATGTGAAAAGACCTAACCTACGTTTGATAGGTGTACCAGAAGGGGACGAAGAGAATGAATCCCAGCTGGAAAATACTCTTCAGGACATCATCCAGGAAAATTTCCCCCACCTAGCAAGACAAGCCAACACTCAATTGCAGGAAATACAGAGAACACCACAAAGATATTCTGCAAGAAGAGCAACCCCAAGGCACATAATCGTCAGATTCAACAGGGTTGAAATAAAGGAGAGAATACTAAGGGCAGCCAGAGAGAAAGGTCGGGTCACCCACAAAGGGAAGCCCATCAGACTCACAGCAGATCTCTCGGCAGAAACACTACAAGCCAGAAGAGAGTGGGGGCCAATATTCAACGTTCTTAAAGAAAAGAACTTTCAACCCAGAATTTCATATCCAGCCAAACTGAGCTTCAGAAGTGAAGGAAGAATAAAATCCTTTGCGAACAAGCAAGTACTCAGAGATTTTGTCACCACCAGGCCTGCTTTACAAGAGCTCCTAAAAGAGGCACTACACATAGAAAGGATCAATCAGTACCAGCCATTCCAAAATCACACTGAATGCTAAAGAGCTTCAACATAATGAAGAATCTACAACAACTAACAGGCAAAACAGCCACTTAGAATCAAAATGGCAGTATCAAATTCACACATAACAATATTAACCCTAAATGTAAATGGACTAAATGCACCAATCAAAAGACACAGACTGGCAAATTGGATAAAAATACAAAACCCATCAGTGTGCTGTATCCAGGAAACCCATCTCACATGCAAGGATACACAAAGGCTCAAAATAAAGGGATGGAGGAAGATTTACCAAGCTAATGGAAAGCAAAAAAAAGCAGGAGTTGCAATACTCATCTCTGATAAAATAGACTTTAAAGCAACAAAGATCAAAAGAGACAAAGAAGGCCATTACATAATGGTAAAAGGATCGATACAACAAGAAGAGCTAACGATCCTAAACATATATGGACCCAACACAGGAGCACCCAGATACATAAGGCAAGTTCTTAATGACTTACAGAAGGACTTAGACTCCCACACAATAATAGTGGGAGACTTTAACACTCCACTGTCAATACTAGACAGATCAACCAGACAGAAAATCAACAAGGATACCCAGGGCTTGAACTCAGACCTGGAGCAAGCAAACCTGGTGGACATTTACAGAACTCTCCACCCCAAATCCACAGAATACACATTCTTCTCAGCACCACATCACACCTACTCTAAAATTGACCACATAATTGGAAGTAAAGCACTGCTCAACAAATGCAAAACAACTGAAATCATAACAAACAGCCTCTCAGACCATAGTGCAATCAAGTTAGAACTCAGAATTCAGAAACCGACCCAGAACCGCACAGCTTCATGGAAACTGAACAACTGGCTCTTGAATGTTGACTGGGTAAACAACGAAATGAAGGCAGAAATAAAGAAGTTCTTCGAAACCAATGAGAATGAAGACACAACATGCCAGAACCTCTGGGACACATTTAAAGCAGTCTCTAGAGGAAAGTATATAGCAATAAGTGCCCATATGAGGAGAATGGAGAGATCCAAAATTGACACCCTATCGTCAAAATTGAAAGAGTTAGAGGAGCAAGATCAAAAAAACTCAAAACCCAGCAGAAGACAAGAAATTACTAAGATCAGAGCTGAGCTGAAGGAGATTGAGACACGAAAAACCCTTCAAAAAATCAATAAATCCAAGAGCTGGTTTTTTGAAAAGATCAACAAAATAGACAGACCACTAGCCAGATTGATTAAAAAGAAAAGAGAGAACAACCAAATAGATGCAATAAAAAATGATAAAGGGGAAATCACCACAGATTCCACAGAAATTCAAACCATCATCAGAGAATATTACAAACAACTCTATGCACATAAACTAGTAAACCTGGAAGAAATGGATAAATTCCTGGACTCCTGTGTCCTCCCAAGCCTAAACCAGGAGGAAGCTGAAACTATGAATAGACCAATAACAAGGTCTGAAGTTGAGGCAGCAATTAAGAGCCTACCTCACAAAAAAAGCCCAGGTCCAGATGGGTTCACAGCCGAATTCTACCAGACACACAAGGAGGAGCTGGTACCATTCCTTCTAAAACTATTTCAAACAATCCAAAAAGAGGGAATCCTTCCCAAATCATTTATGAGACCAACATCATCCTGATACCAAAACCCGGCAGAGACCCAACGAGAAAAGAAAACTTCAGGCCAATATCCATGATGAACATAGATGCAAAAATCTTCAATAAAACACTGGCAAGCCGATTGCAACAGCAAATCAAAAAACTTATTCATCATGATCAAGTAGGATTCATCCCAGGGATGCAAGGCTGGTTCAACATACGCAAGTCTATCAACGTAATTCACCACATAAACAGAACCAAAAACAAAAACCACATGATTATCTCAATTGACGCAGAGAAGGCATTTGACAAAATTCAACAGCCCTTTATGCTAAAAACCCTCAATAAACTCGGTATCGATGGAATGTATCTCAAAGTAATAAAAGCTATTTATGACAAACCAACAGCCAATATCATACTGAATGGGCAAAAACTGGAAGCATTCCCTTTGAAATCTGGTACTAGACAAGGATGCCCTCTCTCACCACTCCTATTCAATATAGTACTGGAAGTTCTAGCCAGAGCAATCAGGCAAGAAAAAGAAATAAAGGGTATTCAAATAGGAAAGGTGGAAGCCAAATTGTCTCTATTTGCAGACGACATGATAGTATACCTAGAAGACCCCATTGCCTCAGCCCAAAAACTCCTGAAACTGATAAACAACTTCAGCAAAGTCTCAGGATATAAAATCAATGTGCAAAAATCACAAGCATTCATCTACACCAATAACAGACTTAAAGAAAGCCAAATCAAGAGCGAACTGCCATTCGCAATTGCTACAAAAAGAATAAAATACCTTGGAATACAACTCACAAGGAACGTAAGGGACCTCTTCAAGGAGAACTACAAACCACTGCTCAACGAAATCAGAGAGGACACAAACAGATGGAGAAACATTCCATGTTCATGGTTAGGAAGAATTAATATTGTGAAAATGGCTATACTGCCCAAAGTAATTTACAGAATCAACGCTATCCCCATCAAGCTACCATTGACTTTCTTCACAGAACTGGAAAAAACCACCATGAACTTCATATGGAACCAAAAGAGAGCCCGCATAGCCAAGTCAATTCTAAGCAAAAAGAACACAGCGGGGGGCATCACACTACCGGATTTCAAACTATACTACAAGGCTACAGTAATCAAAACAGCATGGTACTGGTACCGAAACAGAGATATAGACCAATGGAACAAAACAGAGGCACCGGAGGCAACACAACATACATACAACTATACAATCTTTGATAAACCTGACAAAAACAAGCAATGGGGCAAGGATTCCATGTTTAACAAATGATGTTCGGAAAACTGGCTAGCCATGTGCAGAAAGCAGAAACTGGACCCCTTCCTGACACCTTACACTAAAATTAACTCCAGATGGATTAAAGACTTAAACATAAGACCTGGCACCATAAAAACCCTAGAAGGAAATCTAGGCAAAACTATCCAGGACATAGGAGTAGGCAAGGACTTCATGAACAAAACACCAAGAGCATTGGCAACAAAAGCCAAAATAGACAAATGGGACCTAATGAACTCCACAGCTTCTGCACGGCAAAAGAAACAGTCACTAGAGTGGATCGGCAACCAACAGAATGGGAAAAAATTTTCGCAGTCTACCCATCTGACAAAGGGCTGATATCCAGAATTTACAAACAACTCAAGCAGATTTACAGGAAAAAAACAAACAAGCCCATTCAAAAGTGGGCAAAGGATATGAACAGATACTTTACGAAAGAAGACATATATGAGGCCAACAATCATATGAAAAAATGCTCATCGTCACTGGTCATCAGAGAGATGCAAATCAAAACCACATTGAGATACCATCTCACGCCAGTTAGAATGGCGATCATTAAAAAATCTGGAGACAACAGATGCTGGAGAGGATGTGGAGAAAAAGGAACACTTTTACACTGTTGGTGGGAGTGTAAATTAGTTCAACCATTGTGGAAGACGGTGTGGCGATTCCTCAAGGCCTTAGAAATAGAAATTCCATTTGACCCAGCAATCCCATTACTGGGTATATATCCAAAAGACTATAAATCGTTCTACTATAAGGACACATGTACACGAATGTTCATTGCAGCACTGTTTACAATAGCAAAGACCTGGAATCAACCCAAATGCCCATTGATAATAGACTGGATTGGAAAATGTGGCACATATACACCATGGAATATTATGCAGCAATCAGAAATGATGAGTTCGTGTCGTTTGTAGGGACATGGATGAATCTGGAAAACATCATCCTCAGCAAACTGACACAAGAACAGAAAATGAAACACCGCATATTCTCACTCATAGGTGGGTGATGAAAAATGAGAACACATGGACACAGGGAGGGGAGTACTAAACACTGGGGTCTATTGGGGGGAAAAGGGGAGGGCCAGTGGGAGGGGGAGGTGGGGAGGGATAGCCTGGGGAGAAATGCCAAATGTGGGTGAAGGGGAGAAGAAAAGCAAAGCACACTGCCATGTGTGTACCTACGCAACTGTCTTGCATGCTCTGCTCATGTACCCCAAAACCTATAATCCAATAAAAAATTTAAAAAAAAAAAATGCTAAGTAAAACTTGTTCTTATCTAATCATCAAATTGAAACCTCTATTAGGCAATATCTAGCGAGCTTTCAATACTTAATTGTTCTCTACATTAGATATTTATTCTTTCCTATAATTATTCCTTACAACTAATCTGAACTTGTGAGATTTTGTTGTTTATAATCTCCATCAGAAAATTTAAACCTCCTAGGCACCCCCACGAAATAAATTTGTAACACCAAAATAAAACAAAAACCAAAATCTTCCCCTCAGAAGTCCTTTATGAAAGAGTTGGAAATAACTTATACCCAGAAATTAGACCTATTTGAGGGTATGATATCCAATTCTAGATGTAGAACAAGACCAGGTCTTCTGTGACAGGAGACTGAAGACAGAGGCATGAGTTAATCCATCTGAAAATGATCCACTGTTACTAGCCTGAACTCTGATTCACAGGAGATCACATGGGACCTAATTTGAAACAAATTCTTTAAAATCATTCCTTTCATGAGCCTTCAGCATCACCAGTCACAAATAGATTCTCTCTTTAGTATTGGCTTAATTTCCCCAGTCTCTAACCAACTAGTCCTGTAGGAAGTAATTGTATAATGATTTGTTTTCTAAAAGATATTAAAAGACAATTACCAATTTAAGTACCTAGGCACCAATGGAACTTCATTCCAATTTGCTAAAGTCGAGAGAATTGAGAGTTAGAAACTACTTATGTGAAATTTGTAAATCTGCACAGAGGAATTCATTTTAAAGGATGGGTATAGAGGTATCCATTGAAAAGTGATGTTTTTGGAAAGTCCATGGAAACTTGAAGCAGACTTCTTGTGACAGAATTACAAAAAATAACTACAAAAATAGATGATCATTCTTATGATCTATGCTATGGTTTGACTATTTCCCCCCAAGTTCACATGTTTACAGCAAGTGCAGTAAAGGATTATTCTGGAGTCTTAGGATTTCATGTCTGCTCTGTTGGGTTTTTGGACTCACTTGGGGCATGTTACTCCTGTCTTGCCTATTTCTCCCCCTTTAGAATGTGAATGTCTATCCTATGCTTCCTACCCTTGTATTTTGGAAGCATGCAATCTGTTAACTTCACAGGCCCACAGCTGGAGAGAAACTTGCTTTGGAATGAATCAGGCATTTAGTTTAAACTGTACCTGATTTAGACGAGACTCTTGAGTTGGTGCTGAAACTCCTGGGATGGAATTAATGTTTTCTGCATGTGAGAAGAACCTGCATTTTGGGGGCCAGAGTGAAATGCTATGGATTGAATGTGTCCCCCAAAATTCACGTGTTGGAAACTTTATCTATAATGCAACAGTGTTGACAGGTGGGACCTTTAAGAGGTGATTATGTCCTAAGGGCTCTGTCCTCATGAATGGATTTGTGTTGTTATCATGGACATGAGTTAGTTATCTTGGGAATGGGTTCCTGGTCAAAGCATGAGTTTGGCCCCCTTCCTCTCCCCACCACCCTGAACTCCTTGAGTGCTCTCTTGCCCTTCCCTCTGTGGGATGATACAGCAAGAAGGCCCTTATCAGATGCAAGCCCCTCAACTTTTGGCTTCTCAGCCTCCAGAACTGTCAGAAATAAATCTGTTATTGATAAATTATTCACTCTCAGGTATTCTCTTATAGCAGTACAAAATGGACTAAGACAATCCCCAGAAGCTTAAGATACTTCATTTATGACTTAAGCTTCTGGGAATATGAACACAGCAAATAACCTAGTTTAGTCCCATCAATTAACTTACCGGTGTCATCATCAAAATCAGACAGGACTGATTCAATTCCATCCTCACTGCTGGCTGACTGTTCCTGAAGTCTTCGGGGCAAGCTGGCAAGTCTCCCACTAAGGAATATTGGCTTCAAGGGCATTTTGTAGATTTTTGCCAATAACTAAATTTAGAAAAAGATAAACTGCAATTATATACTGGAAAAAGTTGCACTGTGGGTGTTACATAATCATGAAATGATACACTAGTCCTAAAGGGAGATGGGAAACTAGACACTGAAAGTTTGATGTTTGTGATTTGGATTTCAAATCACAAGAGGCATTTATTCCATGAAACAGATGAAATGGCATTGAATGGCAACAAAAAAGTCGAGGGAAAAAGGATCCTCTGGATAATTTTCCAGTATTTTAATTACATATGAGTTTTATAGACTTTTATAAACCTACCCAGGGAACCATGAAACATGTCAAGAATTTTAGCCTATGGGAAAAAGTGTTCTGTGGGTATCACCGAGAAGACAGTTCACAGGCCAATGAGATACCAGACTCTGATTTCTCCTTCCCTTGACTCAACCTCTCAGGAAACACAGGGATAAGAGCACTTAGAGAAATGGAGGCTGTAGCCAGGAGGGAAAGAGGAAGGTCTCAGAAGCTGAGCCAGCAGAGTGGCCTGGGCTCTTCATCCCCCTCTTGTGACTAGTGCCCAGGCCCCCATGGGATCTCTGTTACTGGGACAAACTTCCAAAGATCCTTCTGTCTTCATGAATGAGAATCCTGCCATGCCCACATTGTTCGAGGAACCATGGCTGTGAGCAAACAGACAAAATTCCTGTCCTGGTGGGTCTCACCAACTACAATCCTTTCTAAAATAATTACATTTCAGTCATCAATGCTACAGAAAAATCTAAACAGGTGGTACTAGAAATAGTGAAGGCCGGGCATGGTGGCTCATGCCTGTCATTTTAGCACTTGGGAGGCCGACGCTGGCTGTTCTCTTGAGGTCTGGAGTTCGAGACCAGCTTGGACAACATGACGAAACCCTGTCTCTACTAAAGATGCAAAAATTAGCTGGGTGTGGTGGTGCTACTAGGGAGGTTGAAGCAGGAGAATCACTTGAACCTGGGAGGTGGAGGTTGTAGTGAGCCGAGATTGTGCCACTGCACTCCAGCCTGGGTGACAGAGCAAGATTCTGCCTCAGGAAGAAAAAAACAAAAACAACAGGGGGACTCTAGGCAGGAGTTGGCAGATCCTTTAGCCAAGAGAGACACTTTGCTCTGCGCTCTGAAGAGGTGACGTTTCAGATGAGATCTGGGAGATAAAGAGTGGCACCTAGAATCTGGGGAGAATCTCAGCAGAGGAAGCAGTGATGGCCCTTGGCAGTAATGAGCAGGTGTATTGGGGGAAGGGCAGAAGCTCAGCATGGCTGTAGCACTGTGAGAAGGAAGGATGTGAGGGTGGAAAGGGAGCCAGGCAGGGGTCATGTCACACGAGGCCTGGGGAGGCAGCTGGATGGAGAAGCCAGGGATGTGTGTCCCTTCTAAAGCCATGGGCTCAGTGCTGTCACCCAGGAAGAGGCTATACATAGATCCCCAAAGAGGCCCAAGGACACCACATGGGAAGACAGGTGAGAAAGTACTGAGAGAGGTGTGTCACTGAAGCTTAGAAAGAAATGGCTTCAGGGAGTGGGCACAGTGTCAGGCAGAGAAAAATGGGCACAATGACACTCACTGCTCACTTTGACAGCACTGTTTTATTCTGTTTTTTTTACTAGATTAAAAAAAATATTTTTGAAACAGTCTCGCTCTGTCACCTAGGCTGGAGTGCAATGGCATGATCTTAGCTCACTGCAACCTCCGTCTCCCGGGTTGAAGCAATTCTCCTCCCTAAGCCTCCCACATAGCTGGGATTATGGGCCTGTGTCACCATATCCGGCTAATTTTTGTATTTTTAGTACAGATGGGGTTTCACCATGTTGTCCAGGCTGGTCTTGAACTCCTGACCTCAGGTGATTTGCCCACCTCTATGAGGTGATCTTGACTGAACATATCTTTCTTTTATTAATGTCCCTCTTCACTGCTTGCGCCACCCCCTCCACTTTTTGGTGCCCTCAGAAAGACTTTCCATGACCTCGTGACCCCTTCCCCTAAAACCTCATGCAGATATAGAGATTCCTGTAGTTTGGACCTCTGAGTGTGAGGGAGAAGTTTCAGATATCTCAGCATGCAATGGTGTGTTCTAGCATGTTTTCATTATTTTCTTTCCTTCATAGAAAAAGGAGATATAGACTTCACATCTGAGCCCCAATCTACTCAGAGATGGCAAAGTGTCTCTCTTGGGCTTCAGCAAAAGACCCCCATGCGCGTTGTGCAAGCATCTTCCAAGGCAGGTTTCCAGGCCTGGCGCCCAGCTGGACCCCTCCCCTACCTGAGAGCAGCGCCTGAGGTAGTCCAGGGCTGGGAGGCACAGGTCTGTGGACGGGGCTCCGGGTGCCGGGACACAGTCTCCAATCTCTTTACAGTCCACCTCCCCTAGGGGTGGCATGAGGACAAAGACCAACAGTATTACTCTTGCGGGCCCCCTTCAATAGGAGACCTGTTGACCCAATAGCACTAGTGCACCAAATAGCTACTAAAAGAGAGTGGGAGAAAAATGACTTCAAACTGCACAGCCCTGAGGAAAATCCTTTCAGCCATTCTCTGCCCTGCATGTGCACATGTTAAATATAGTTGGGGCCAGGTGCAGTGATTCATGGCTGCAATCCCAGCACTTTGGGAGGCTGAGGCGGGCGGATCACCTGAGGTCGGGAGTTCGAGACCAGCCTGACCAATATGGAAAAACCCCGTCTCTACTAAAAGTACTAAATTAGCTGGGTGTGGTGGTGCATGGCTGTAATCTTGCTACTGGGAAGGCTGAGGCAGGAGAATCCCTTGAACCCAGGAGGTGGAAATTGTGGTGAGCTGAGATTGCACCACTGCACTCCAGCCTGGGCAACAGAGTGAGACTCTGTCTCAAAAATAAAAAAAAATACAATTGGGATCATACTGTCCCACCTATCGTTTTGTTGAGATGATATGGTTTAGTAGCTCCTCCTTCCACTAATCGATGGACATTTCCTCTCTATTCTACCACAGTACTTTCAGTGGCTGGACGGTGTTCCTTTGTACATGGGTACACGTACAAAGGGACCTGCTGTTAGAGGGAGTAACTTGATGACAGAGGACAGTCCCAGAGGCAAGTCCTGGATTGGGCTGGAATGAAGCACTTCCCTCTCTCCATTTGGAAAAGGATTTCTTTCCCTGCCAGTGCGTGGAATTAAATGGCGATGATAAATGAGGGATCTGGGAAGAGTCTAAACATCTGGGGTTTGGGGACAGAGACTACTTAATTGCATTTAAATGGTTTTTCTATTTTTTCTACATATCTAGAGATTTAACATGTCTGTAGAGGGGTATCTAGGTTTTTCTATAAGAATAGTAACTGAATTATTATAATTTCTCTTCTCATAATGAATCCATTTCTATGCATTTAATCAAATAATTTATTTATTGTAATTGTTTCTAATTGTCTACAATTGTAAGAGCAAGAACCCTCCCCAGTGAGTAAACAGACATAATTACTAGGCATTAGTTAAAATTCAGAAGTAAAGAGGCATGTTTCTCCTTTAAAAAAAAAAAAAACCAAAACATTTCTTAGGTTTTTGATCAAGGGTTAGCAAATGTTTTTGGCAAAAGGCCCAAGAGTAAATACTTCAGGCTCTGCAGGTCACACTGTCTGCATTGCAGCCACTCAACTCTGTCACGGTAGTATGGAAGCAGCCATCGACAAATGAGCATGCTGTGTTCTAATCAAACTGTTTTTACAAAAACCATGGGATACAGCTTGCCAACTCCTGGTTTAGATGAACCCATTTTATAATATAAAAACACAGACCAGGTCAAATGCCTGTTGAAATAAGCAGGTGGGAATTAACAACACATTCATTTCCTATCCATGGTTACAGCAGGCATCCCAAAGGTTTTGACTATGGCCACTGTGTATTTGAACACATCCAAATCTATGTGAATGGCACGCCCTGGAGCCAGGCAGGACACAGGCACCGTGACTATACAGAGGGCTCTACCTTTCCCATTGAACCCAGGCCCCATCCAAATAACTAACTCCATCTTATAATTCACAGAAGAAAAAAAAACAGGCTGTTTTCAATATCTTCCATGTGATGGTTTATTTTAGGTGTCCGCTTGACTGGATTAGGGGGGACCCAGATGACTGATAAAGCATGATTTCTGGATGTGTCTATGAGGCTGGTTCTGGAAAAGGTTGGCGTTTGAATCAGACTGAGTAAGGGAGCTCCAACCTCGCCCAATGCAGGCAGACACCATCTAATCAGCTGAGGCCCAGGGAGAACAAAAGGCAGAGAAAAGGAGAATTCTCTCTGTCTCTGTCTCTGTAGCTGGGATACCCTTCTCCTGTCTTAGAGCTACAGCTTCTCAGGCCTCCACCTTCAGACTAAGAGTTACACCCTCGGTGCCCCTGGTTCTGGGGCCTTTGAACGTGAACTGAGCCATGTTACCAGCTTCCCTGGTTTTCCAGCTTGCAGAGGGTCTACCGTGGGACTTTTCAGCCTCCAGAATTGTATGAGTGTTCTAAGATTTCCAACCTCAGATTAAGCAACATTATATTAAATAATTGCCTTTATGCAGAAACCTATTCTTAGTGTCATGATTAGCAGCTTGAGTTTGATTTCCCAACTTTTTAGCAGAAGAATTCCTCCTACCCCAGGTTTTATTAATTATAAAATATATTTTCTAAGTATAGAAGTCCCCCTTCTTGAAAGCCTCGTGTATTTCAGGAACTACCCAGATGATTTTATACTTAATTTAGAAACACCTTAACAAAATAGATTCTCACTATACAACATGACCTGTGATAGCAGATTTTTATAGCGCATGGGTTTATCTGGGGTGAAATGAAAGGGAGGGACACTTAGTTAAACCAAAAGGTTTAGAAGAAACTTAAAATTTTGAGAGTTTCCATAGAGTCTGATTAAACCTGGAGCCTGAGAACCTTTTAAAAAGGGAAAATATAAGGTTGATATTATTCTTTGACAATAAAGTTGGTATAAAATAATAAGCAAATAGATTAAAAATATGCTATAAGCTATTCCATGAACACAATGAAAAGTATCAACTTTGGATAAAATTCAAGCTGCTTTCACAGTAAGTTTTTGCTTCTGAGTGCACAGCGCCACACCACCTGCTTGTATCCCAGTGGGCCCTGTCGCCAGCCATACAGAGCCACCCTGGAAAGGGTCCTCAGCTGTTACAAGGCATGAGAGAAAGGTTCTGCTTACCCAGTCCTTTGACAAACTTCATAAGGCACATGATGTAGCTAGTAGCTGCATTAGCAAAGACCTGGATGTTGTCCGTATTGAGAAAAGCTTCAAATACATCAAACACTGGAGCTTGGCCTTTTCCTAAGGGAGGAAGATGATAGAATTGTAAGAAAGTAAGTTTCTACTCTTGGGGTTGCCAGGGTGGCCCATATTCCCAGCATCTTCCACGGGGGCCTTGAGGAAGATCTACTGGCGAGATGCCTGGGCTTTTTTATTGAACCATTGGCTTGGCTCCAGTGCCATGCTCAGTTTTGCTGGCTCAGCAAAGAGATGAGGGCTGAGCTGGCCGAATGCAGAGCTGAGGCAATGTGCTGGTCTAGACAGCAGGGAAATAGGCGACCTCTGGAATGCTCCTGCACAGGTAATTATAGATTTCTACAGGGCAGGGCAGGGCAGGTGTAGATAGACCTTTGGTGGCATCTGTGAGTTTATACCTGTGCAGAAAAAGAGCACAGAAGGTCTGAGGCCACTCTCCTTTTAGAAAGCTTGCTTGCAAAATTGATCTTTGGCTGGTGTCTGGGAACTCAGCTCTGAAAGTACTCCCAGGCCACAGTTAATGGTAAGAGTAGTTCACTGTGCCTGGACTGTTCACGCAAACCATTTGGTTTATGCTGAACACCTGCTTTCCTACTGGGAGTCTGGGATTTTGGTATGTGCTAGGGAAGGGGTACGTAAGTGACCAGCCCCCAGCTAGATCTCTAATGGGCTTCCATGGGCAGAAACATTGCAAACATGTTGCTGTGTTTTCACTGCTGTGGAGGAATGTGGTCTGTGTGATACTTCATGGGAGGGTGACAGCACAGGGAAGCTGGTGCAGATTCCTCCAGATTGTCTGTGTCTTTCCTCTGTATAATCTGCTGTGTCCTTCCTACATTGCTAAAACTTGGTCATGAGCTGTGCAATAAACCTCCGCATAACTATATTCTGGGTCCCATGAGTCCTTCTGGTAGGTTTCTGAGTTTAGGGGAGGTCTTGGGAACCTCTGAGACAACACTGCTGGGCCCTGGGCATGCCTTATGGGTACCCTTCCTTTTCCAGCAGACCGAGTCTTCCTCATTCTGATTACTCTGTGTTATGATACTTTTCTGCTTCTTAATAGCAAGTGGATAACATTTTCCTTTTTGGCCTTAAAAATGAACTCAACACAGCAATGTATAAGTGAAACAACAGAAGCCTCTCAGCCTTATTGTCCAATTGTCAGCAAGAACAAGGCCTGACAATGCTCAGGGCTCTCAGCCTGCTGGCAGAACTCAGAACACCCATTCCTGCTATACCACATTCTCTCCTGATGATAAAACATGACTGACAATCTGTTTTCCCTATTGTTCAATCATTTTTTTACATGAAACTTGGCAGAGAGAATTAATGCTGAATAGCAAGAATCATCCAAACATTCTCACCCATGGAGTAGTCACCAACCAGGTACTCCTTCACCTCTGACTTGTTCCCACCATGCACTGTTTCCAGGGCACTGAACAAGGGTCTCCATCCGGACTGGATCTGCGTGGAACACACTTCAACCAGCTCACCAATGGATGTGACAACCTGGCAGAGGCAAAGCAAGTGGTACTTAGTCCTCTCCTTAAAAGGAGCAGAATTTCTGGGAAGGGTGATATATTTCTCTGTTCCCTATTTTGGAGTTAATTTTAGTAAAAAAGAAAAACCAGAACAGAAAAACTCACTCAAAAGTCTTCTGAATAATCAGCCATATTGTATTAATTTGCATTTCACTCATGACCAATGTTGCTAAGCAACTTTTCACATCTTCTTAGCTGTAGATTTTGTTGTTTTTAAAAATTGGGTACATGTCTTTTCATTATTATTTTTTTGTTTTTAGAGTTCTTTATATATTACCAAGATTAATTTGCAAATATGTTTACACAGCTTTGGCTTTTTGAAAGTTTTGTTTTCTAATGGGGTCTTTTGAAGATGAACAGTTCTTAATTTTTGTGAAGTCCAATTAATCTATTTTTCTTTTAATGGATCATATTGTTAGTGTCATTTCTAAAAAATCTTTGCTTTACTCAAGGTCTCAAAGATTGTCTCCTTTACTTTCTTCTAGAAATAGAGTTTTTGTTCTTATGTCTACATCATGACCCATTTTGAATATATTTTTTTAACATGGTGAGAAGTAAAGGTGTAAGTTTATTTTTATCACATACATTCAAGCACAATTTGCTGAAAATGTCCCCTCTGATTGAATTGCAATGCTATCTTCATCAAAAATCAATTGATGATAAACAGAGAATGTATTTCTGTACTGTTCAGTTCCAGTTCCACTGAACTATAGGTCTGTCTTCACGTGAATATCACACTGTGTTGCTGTTATTTCATCCTTAGTTTATAGATTCACCAGTGAGCCCATCAGCTTTGGTTTTTGTGGGGAGTTTTTTTTTTTTTTAAACAAGAACTGATTAAATTATTGCCCCCCAAATAACAATCATGAAGACACATCACCTGTTTGAAAGAACTATACCATCAGATAGTTACAAAATTTAATAGTAAGGATCAAACAGTGGTTATTGGTCTAACCAATCCACTTTGACAGCTTTGAAGTGTTCAGATGCTACTTTTAAAATAAAAGTGACAAATACCAATCACGCTCTCATACTACTGTTCGGGAGCTACATAAAGTTGGTTCTGCAAATAGTTCAATCTACAAAGGTAGGAGAATAACACTGTAATCACTGGTGATCAAACCAAAGGTGTAATTTTACAAATCACTTTTAGTAAGAATCAATTCTAACATTTTAAAAGTCTAAATCTGCTTAAAACTCAAAGCCATATATTTTTCTACTTGAGACCAAAATAAATTTCTTTTTTCCTATCTAAACATAATTCTTTGAGGTGAATCTGAATTCACGTGATATATCTTGTCAAACTTTCCCAAAGAATTTTAAGCCCTGTTTAGAGACAAATTCTTATGTTACATATACACATATTTTTATTTTACATATTTTTACTTCAAAGACTAATGACAACTTTATGAGGTTAATAGGCCTTTAATGTGCAACGATTACCACAATCTGATTTTAAAACAATTGTACTTACCCCTCAAAAAACTCAGTACCCATCTGTAGTTGTTTCCTATTCCACCACCCAACCCTCAGCCCTAGGCAACCACTAATGTACTTTCTGTCACTGTAGATTTTCCTATTGTGCACCTATCATATAAATGCAGTCATATAACATATGGTCTTTGGTAATTGGATTTTCTCACGTAATGCAATGTTTTCAAGATTCATCCATGTTGTACATATATCAAAATTTCATTTTTATTGCTGAATAATATTTCATAGTGTGGACATAACCAAATTTAATGTATCTGTTAGTTGCTAGAGTTGTTTCTAACTTTTTGGTTATCATGAATAATGTTACTATGAATATTTGTGTACAAGATTTGTATGGATGTTTTCATTTCTCTTGGGTATATGCCTCTTGAGAAACTGCCAGACTGAAAGCAGCCACACATTTTACCTTCCCACAAGTAGTGCATGAGGGTTCCAATGTCTCCACCTCCTCCCTCACCAACACTTGCTATTATCTATCTTTTTTATCCTAGTAGATGTGAAATAGTGTCTCACATGGTTTTGATTGACATTTTCCAAATAACTAATGATGGTGAATGTCCTTTCATTAATGCATATTTAATTGCATTATTGACATGGTTCTATTTACATATGTCATTTGCTATTTGTTTTCTGCATATTTATATATCAGGTTCTTTTTGTTCCTCTGTTCTTCTTTTATTACCTTCTTTTATGTTAAACACTTTTTTTTGTGTGTGATCACCTTCATTCCTGGTTATTTTTTAATCTATTTTTTTGTGTTATTCTCTTGGTTACTGCCCTAGGGATTATAATATGAATCTTCAATTGATCACATTTTACCTGAAGTTAATACTGACCTAATTCTGGCAAAATACAGCAACTTTGCTTCTATATAAGCTGAATTTCCCATCCTTCCTTTCTGCTGTTATTTATATTACATCTTTATGTTTAATAAATCCAACAATACAGTGTTAAAGTTATTGCTTTAAACGTGTTTTTAAAATAAATTAAGAGAAAGAGAAAAATGTACACCCAGTTTATTTTCCCATATATGTACCATTTCTTCTTATGCGACAGATTTACCCGTTTGTGTTATTTCTTTCAGCTTAAAGGAATTTAGTATTTCTTGTAGAACAGATCTATTGGCACGATATTCTTCCAAATTTTATCTGACAATGTTTTTATCTTCATTTTTAAAGAGTAATTTCTCTAGGATTATCCATTAACAGCTTGTTTTCTTTTCAGCACTTTACATATGTCATTGTATTGTCTTCTAGCCTTCAGGCTTTCTGAAGAAGTCAACATTAGTTAATTCTAGCATTACTACCTCTGTAGTAATATATAGAGTCTTTCTCTTGCTGCTTTTAATGTTTTGCCCTTCTTGTTGAGCATTTTGACTATAATGTGTCTATCGTAGATATCTTTGTGTTGATCCTAATGGGGGCTCCAGTATTTTTTAAAATCTATTTTCCTGTTGTCTTTCTCCTCTCCATCTAGGACTCTCATTACAGGTAAGTTGGTATGCTTGACACTGTTGTACAAATCTCTGAGGCTTTGTTTATGTTTGGTCAAATTCAGTTTTGTCTGACCTTCAGAACAGATAATCTCTATTAATCTATTTCCATGTTCACTGACACTTTCTTCTGCCATCTCAGATCTTTCTGGTGATCTCGTATAGCTAATTTTTCATTTCAGCTATTGCCCTTTTCCACTTTAAAATTTGCAATTTCACAGTTCCCATTTCTGTATTTAGCGTTCCTACTTTTGAGTCACTGTCATATTTTCCCTTATCTTTGGGGAATATATTTATAATAGCTACTTTGAAGGCTCTGGCTCCCAAATACATCTGGGCTCACTCTAAGTTTCTATTTACTGTTTTTCCCTCTGAGTATGTTTCATTCTTTCCTGTTTCTTTGCATCACTCATATATTTGAAAATTAGACATTTTAGATAATATATTGCAGCAATGCTGGAGTCTGATTTATTTTTGAGGGTTTTTTTCTTCCCCAGACTAAGCTGCTTGGACTTAGGCTGTGGAGTCTGTTTCTTCCCATGGTGCTCATGTGTCTGCCCAGTTTTTGTTCTTCAGTTTTATTTTCTAGCCTGACTCCCTGGTGTTCATCCCATGTCTGCATAGCTTAGTGGTCAGCTAATCATGTGGGTGGAAACTGTGCTCAAACACCTTGAGTCTTTAAGGCTCCTACCCTCTGGCAATCAATCTGTGTGAGAAGGTTGGCCAGAATATTCAAAGTTCAGCCAGTTTTTGTCTCCCTTTTCTTTTACTTTTTGATGAGATCTTTATGGTCTCCCCTGCACATGCCCATGTTTCAGTCATCCAGGGATGTGTGAACAGACTATTTGGTCCCTCTATGAATCTCTGATTTCCAGGATCTTATGTTAGATTTCTTACTAGTTCACTACTCACTGCAAACCATAGGCTAGCAAGATTGCAGTCTTTCCCCGTTCATTTCTCCATGAAATGAACTTTCCCCGTTCATTTCTCCATGAAATGAACTTTCAGTTGAGAAGCCAATGGTCTTCTCCCCCGTCTTCTTCATACCAAGTCTGTCCCTGATAGCAGAAAAGCTCATGATTTTCTCAATCAGCTTCACACTGGTCAAACTACTATTCTTGCCAACAGAGCTTGGGAGTAAAGGTGATGGTTGCAGTCTTTGGCAAGAAAGTCAGAGTCCCACTATTCTTAACCAAAGTTCTAAGCAAACAGTGTTTTTAAGAATAAATGCTATTTAATTTTTTTGTCTGCTTTTGGTCAATTTCCAGACCCCTCAGATTGTTGCTTTGGGCAATTCTATCCTGTTTTATGCTTGATTTTTTGTGGAGAGGGTTACCCTAACTTCCTCATGTCACCATAGCCAAAGCTGTTCCTGTCCTTAATCTTCCTAAATACACTGAAGCATTGTTACTTTCAAGTGTGTCTCTGATATCTGAGTTCCTATGTGTGTGTTGTTGGTTTGTTAAATTTTTGTTTTCGATGACATTTTATTTCCTAATAAGCCTGGTTATTTTTATTAACTGCGAACATTATACCTGCAAATCAAGAAATGACTTGAAGCTTGTTATTAACAGAATGACATAATCTTCTGTCAGAAAGGTACTAGACATCTCAGATGACCTTAATCTCATGTCAGGGATTGGGATTGTTTGAAGTTGGGTATTACTTGCTCTTATGACTAGTCTATTTAAGGTTTATCTTTATTTCTAAGATGTCCCTTTCTCTTCAAGATCCTGACTCAAGATATCAGGAAGTTTACCAGACTTGGCAGGTCCCAGACTGCAATTTTGCCGAGCTTCTCAGTCTTTTATTATGTTGGTGCAAAAAGAATTGCAGTTTTTGCCAGCACAGCAAAAACTGCAGTTACTTTTGCACCAACCTAATATCTTCCTTTTTTAAAAATTAGTAGATTCCATTTTAGGAAAAACAGCCTCAAATACCAGGAAAACTATTCTAGGTATTCTTTTTCTCCCAGATCTTGGCCCCCTAGATCTTTACTGCCCTAGAGTATGTCAGTATCTTCAAGTGATTTAAAAATTTGTTTATCCAACTTTTTTAAGTTGTTCCCTGTGGGAAAGTTGATCTAAATTACCTAGTTCACTCTTATTGGTATACAGTCTTAGATACCTATCTAGGTTAACTTATCTAAGATGTTAATAATCTAGCATTTAGGTGTGAACAATCTAGGAGCTAACTATATGTGTGATCTTAAATGTTAACAATCTGGTCTTTAGGTGTTAACTTATATTTTCAATCCTTTATTTCCTTAAACTTACTAGGCATTTTAATATTTTACATGAAAGATACCAGTATTTCAGTATAATTCTTTATAGGTCGAGTTGTACCATCTGTTGCTTTATCAGCACTCTCTATTACCTTGTTTTCTTGTGTGTTTTGTGAATTTTTAAAAAATACTGAGAGCTCATGTACCTTGAAACTTTATTTGTGGGATTCTTTTGTGGCCTGAGTTGATGTGCGTTTCTCTCGGGGGAATTCTGTTGCCTTCGTAAAGTTTCTCAGACCCTGAGGTGGTGCAATTTCATATCCAGATCACATAACAGGGTTAAGTTTTAATAATCAATCCTGGAGTGCTCTTTTTAAAAAAATTTTCTACTTTCCATTAAGAGCCAATGTTAGAAACAAGCTGACGTATCTTCAGGAAGTTTGTTTTAATTCAACCTTGGTCCAAGTGAACCCCAGCTTTGTAAAGTGTGCATTAAGATTTCTTTTCTGTTTCTGTGCACTCAAGTCTGGGATGATCAGAACTTTGGCTCTACTAGCTAGCAAATTCCCTCACAGTAAAACCAGCCTAAGGGCGCCACTTACCTCTCTGGCTTCCCATTGACACTTAGTTTTGGGGCTTTCTTACTTTCTTGCCAGTTTGTCAATGTATTTGAAAGAAATGTTTAAACCTCTATTCAACATTTTTTTGGTGGATTTCAGAGAGGAGGGGGAGAGAGAGAGGGGAAGGCGGGGGAGGGGGGGAGGGAGAGAGAGAGAGAAGAGAGATCCTGTATTCCTAGCCCACCATCATGTGAAATACGAACTCTCCAGTTGGTTTCTTTACTTTGCCTTCAGCTGACAATATGACAGTAGTTAGGAATATAGGCCAGGTACAAAGAGACAGGCCAGTAGATTGCCCAGGTTTAAATCCCAGCTCCACCAATTACTGATTATGTAACTTAGCCAAATTGTTAAACTTCTCTTTGTCACAGATTCCACATAGGATTATTGGCAACAGGAAGTGTGCAAAGCTCACAGAACCGTGCCTGCCACTGCACTCAGTCAGAGCCAGCTATGATGTTGATGACAGTGATTACTGTGTCATACTGACCTGGTCTTGGACGTCCTCATCACACAACTCCAGCTGCATAATGCGCTCAAAAGGTCGGAAGAGTAATTCATTGAAGTGAAAATGAGGTGGCTCATTCCAGTCAGTGAGGACCTCTGTCAGTATGTCGTGGATGAAGGAAACAGCCTTCTGAGACACATGTCTTTCCTTATGGCAAGCAGCCTGCAAAATTCAGAGAGTGGCACACCATCAGGTCAGCAAACAAGTGAGAATGTGGCTTCTGAAGGCTTTCCTAACCTGCCTTATTACAAGGAGGTAGAAGAAGCAATTCTGTTAAAGTCAAAACGTTCTAAGGGATAAATATACACAAATTCCACACTAAATTGGATTTTAAACAATGTAACCAGCTTATTAGACACAACATCAATTTCATGTTGATGTTTCTGGATAAAGAAAAGTTTCTGGTAATTTTTCTGTCACATGACAGTTTTCTTGAATGGTATAGAACATGCTTACTCTAAAGACACTAGAACCCAGTCTAGGAATGGCTCGTGGTTTCATCTTAAATATGCCCCAAACATAGGAAGATCAGATGAGTCATCTGTCCCTCAGTGAGGTAAGGGACAAATTGTCACAATAGCTGTAATTGGTTTACAAACCTCCTGGTATCCAGGTTCTTGAGTAGTCCTTTCATATACTGGCCCTGGGCTTGGATGTGTGAGCTGCTTTGGCCAGCAGAACACAAGCAAACATCATGTCAGTACAGGATTAAAGTACTCGTGATTTGGGGTTTGTCCTGTTGTTGGTCTTGGAAACTCGAAGGATGCCTTACAAACAAGCTGGGGCTGGTCTGCAGGAGGCTAGTCTATGTGAGAGACCATGAAGAGAGAGACCTATTTGTCTAGCCTTCCCAGTTAAGGCCAACATGAACCATCTGGCCCCAGTCTTTGCACCAGCTGACCATACACACACAATTAAAGCCAATGAGATCCACCACGCCTGGCCAAGACTAGAACTGCCCAGAGGAGCCTACCTCAGATTTTGACTCATGGAATCATAAGGTAAATAAATGGTGGTTGTTTTAAGCCACAAGATGTTGGGGAGGCCTTACTGTAAAGTAAAAGATAACCTATGGACTCTTTCTCCATGACTACATTACTATTTTTTTTCTTATATTTTATTGCACTTTAGGTTCTGGAGTACATGTGCCGAGCATGCAGGATTGTTGCATAGGTACATGCATGGCAATGTGGTTTGCTGCCTCCATCCCCGTCACCTATATCTGGCATTTCTCCACGTTATTCCTACCCCCCGCTGTCCCTCCTCTAGTCCCCCCTGACAACAGACCCCAGTGTGTGTTATGTTCCCCTCCCTGTGTCCATGTGTTCTCATTGTTCAACGCCTGCCTATGAGTGAGAACATGCAGTGTTTGATTTTCTGTTCTTGTGTCAGTTTGCTAAGAATGATGGTTTCCAGATTCATCCATGTCCCTACAAAGGACACAAACTCATCGTTTTTAAATTTTCTACCCACTTTCCTTACTAGAATGTTCTCAGGTTAATAATTTAAGTTCCAAGAAGTACTTTATGATTTATCTCTACTGGGTAAGAGCAAAAGGGCCATTAAGAATAGTTATAACTGCAAAACAGGCAACAGTTTTCCCTGTCAACTTAGAAGTGGCCAGTTCTCATGTATTGATGCTTAGATGCAGAGCTGCCATGAAATTGATCACACAAACTGCTTTCCTTGGGAGAGTGAAAGGGTCTTATTAATTTTGTTGGAAAACCCAAGACATAGCATTCCCTGACTGAAACGGCACTGTCCTGAGTATATTTAGCTATTAGAAAAATAGGGACTGGTAGGAACCAAAGACAATGGTATATTTATGTATAAAAATAAAGCTATTAGGAATCATCCACAGTCTTTCTCTTTCAGGCTTAGGTTGATACCAGATCATAAAAAAATGAAAAACCAGCTGAGTCATATAATTGCAAAGAAAGAGGGTGAGAGTGAGACTAGGGTAGTACTGCCCTTTGGGGTGATTCTTTAGATGCCATGAGGTGTAACCAGAAAACAGTGATGTTTGTGACCAGGTGATAAGCAACTTCCCATTGCCCAATGCCCACCGTGCTTTGTCCCCATACATGAATGCAGGCCCCAGTGCTGGCTCTGCTGGTCACTGACTTATCAGTTCCAGCCCCTTCCCACCTTCCAGGTGCTCACCTCCACCAGGTGTGGGGCCACGAGGCTCCAGCAGCGCATCACGTGGAGCAGGGGTCGTGCTTTGCTGCGCACGATCCTCAGCATGGCATCCCCCAGGCGGAACAGGTGGAGGGCACTTTTTCGATCTTGAGTGGATTTAACTTCTCCTATGGGAAGGTAAGGACATAAAAGCCAGAAAGCCAAACTCAGACATAGTCTGACCTATTCAAGCAAAGAGAGAGGGTGACAATCTAGGTAGGACCAATAGGGTAATTTGATATTGGCTAACCAAGGGAAGAGAGAGATTCAAGGAGGATGTGGTGGTTCACTCCGCAAGGCCTGCATCACTGTCTCATTCATCACTGTAGTTCCGGTACCTAGGACGTGACAGGTGTGATCAAGACTTGTCAATAAGAGGGAATGAGGTAGCGGTCAGTAGGAGGGCTGAGAAGTCTGACTGTCTGGGCTTATATCCTGGCACCATTTAGTAGTTGTGTTAGGCTGGGCCAAATATATTCCTCTTTAACGATCTCATCTGTAAACCTGGGGATAATACTGCACACTCCTAAAACTGCTTTCAAAATTAAACGTGATAATACACACAAAGTGCTCAGCATCGGCCCAGCATATACTCACTGGCCAACATTGTTAGCTATTATTATTGATCTCGTTACTGTCACCTTTCACAGTCACCATCTGCTGCGCCAATCCTTAATAAACCTCTGCAGCCTCTGCCAAGCAGGCCTGGTCCCTCTGCTGCTCAGTAACATGCTGTCTGGCCTGCTCCATCTCGCTTTAGTACCATCCTTGCCTACCCCAATCTTGGGCTAAGTCTTGGCCACTGTCACATTCATCTTCCCCACTCCCTCCTTGCTCATGTCCTATTGCCTCTTCTCTACTTCCTACTGGGGATGAGACCCAAGTCTAAACACAAAATTCATTTCTGTTTTATTTTTTTGAGACAGAGTCTCTCTCTGCTGCCCAGGCTGGAGTGCAGTGGTGTAATCACAGCTCACTGCAACCTCCGCTTCCTGGGTTTAAGCAATTCTCCTTCCTCAGCCTCCTGAGTAGCTGGAACTACAGGCATAAGCCACCACGCCCAGCTAATTTTTGTATTTTTAGTAGAGGTGGGGTTTCACCATGTTGGCCAGGATGGTCTCAATCTCTTGACCTTGTGATCCGCCAGCCTCAGCCTCCCAAAGTGCTGGGCATACAGGTGTGAGCCTCTGAACCCGGCCCATTTCTGTTTCATATATACCATTATGCACAGCCTGAAGGCAATTTTGTTTTTCCCTTGGGGACCCTCAATAAACTGTGTGTTGTGTGCCTGCATTTCAAGTGTGACTCATCATATGAGGTCAGGTGTAGAACTTTCCACTTGTGGCATCATGCCATTGCTTAAAAAGTTTTAAGGGCTGGGCGCGGTGGCTCAAGCCTGTAGTCCCAGCACTTTGGGAGGCCGAGGCGGGTGGATCACGAGGTCAAGAGATCAAGGCCATCCTGGTCAGCAGGGTGAAACCCCGTCTCTACTAAAAATATAAAAAAATGAGCTGGGCATGGCGGCGCGTGCCTGTAATCCCAGCTACTCTGGAGGCTGAGGCGGGAGAATTGCCTGAACCCAGGAGGCGGAGGTTGCGGTGAGCCGAGATCTTGCCATTGCACTCCAGACTGGGTAATAAGAGCGAAACTCTGTCTCAAAAAAAAAAGTTTTAGATTCTAAGCATTTTGGATTTTGGATTTTTGGATTAGGGATATTCAACCTGTAATCATTATCATGGATGTTGACTGTATGCTTACCCTACCCTTTAAGATCACATAACTGGGCTAGGTTGTAACAGTAAATCCTGGAGTGCTCTTTTTAAAAACTTTCCATTAAGAACCAATGTTAGAAACAAGCTGATAGTATCCTCAGGAAGTTTGTTTTAATTTAACCTTGGCCTAAGTGAACACCAGCGTTGTAAAGTTTACATTGAGATTTAAACTCAATCAGTAATAAACTGCATCAGACATTGTGTTGGTTCTGAGAGTCTTTAACCACTTTAATTTTTATAGTAAAAGAAAATATAATTATTGCTGTCTTACAGAGTAGGAAATTGAATGTCTGAAAGGTGATGACTTGCCTCCGACGCTGTGGCTGGTAAGTGTTGGAGGCTGCTATATTCCTACCTGACTGATTCCAAAGCAAGGCTGCCTCTTTCTAGATTTACTGCCTCTTCCTGGCCCTTGATCATTTTGTTCTTTGTAAGCTCAGAGTCTGCTGTTTTCTCCAAGGCAAAAGACTTTGAAAGTTACCCCTGGGCTCAGAGATTCTCTGAAAGTCTGATGGGACTGAGAGGTTGGCTTTATATAGCTCAGGTTTTAAAGTCTATTAAAAACCAGCGGGGAAACAGTTGTGGCTCTCAAATCCAAATCTGCAGCAAGGATGAAAAAGCCAAATATACTGCACTTAGAACTTTAGATTCCTAAGGATGGAAGGGACCTCAGAGGTTGTGCAGTCCAACCTGTCACTAGGGTATATCCCTGGCACATGGCTCCGTCTCTGCCTGAACTCATCTGGGACAAGGTGCTCACTGTTTCAGGACAACCACTTGTACTGTTGAACAACTGCATCTGTGAGGGACCTGCCAACCCTTTGGGACCCTTGGACAATTCAGTACAACTCTACTTTGTCTTCCACAAGACTGGCCTTCAAGGGGGCCTTATTTCTTCCCCTGGCCTCGCTGGTGAGGACAGGGATACTGACCCATCATTAATGGGATATGCCTCTGAGATCAGTTTTGCAAGAGTGGTATGCAGTTTCCTTTTTAACCATTACTTTTGGAATCAGTGGTTGCTTCTGTCCAGTGGAGCCAGCTGGACAGAGGTGGTTTGTGGTATGGTCTGTGACATGCAGAAAAATTCCACCCTCATGTGAAGGAAGCTATCTGCACCATAAGTAGCCACACAATTTCTACCACAAGCACAAAACTTAGCAGAACAACCTAGTCCAGCTCCAGTTGTAATTCTTGTAGATGTGGCAGCAGCAATGTTTCCATTCACAAAGAGTTATACCACCCCTCACATATGGTGCCTCAAAATTTGGGGACAAATCTAAATCTATACTTGGGCTTAGCTTGAATGTAAGCAAAGGGAATATGGACTCAAATCTTTACGCACACTGCTGGTGACAGAGGCCTGGGCTATTTCCTGCTAACTTTCTGGCACATGGTTTCTTTAGGGAAAGAATTACCTGGCATTGCCAGACAGTAATCAACTGTATCTGTAACAGAATGGAAAAGCTGAGACTGTGATGCTTTCTTCAGCTGGTAAAGAAAACCTCCCAGAGCCATGAGGTTCAATTTGTCCGTAGCATCTTCAAAGAGCCTGGATGCAAACAGAAAGAGATTCATTCTTTAAAAACAATCCAGGAAGGTCTTTATGGCAGGATGATTATGGTAATTTTGTTGATGTAATTAATGGAAATGCTGTGTAAACACTGGAGACAAATATATGGTATTATATCTATTCTAACTGTGCACAAGTTTGCTCTAATGTGAGATTTTAATTCAAAGGTGAAAATAATATATTAAAAAATATCTTTGTGTCCTCATGATCTAGCTCCACCATGGTAGGCACTCATAAAATGCTTAGCAAGAAGTTGAAAGATGGCAAAGCGTTGTTTCCAGAAACTGAGTAACTGGGGATGGAATCTTCAGAATTAGCTTCAATTTTATAAATGATGTCAAAAAAACAACCCAGTACATTAATAAATAAGGTTTTGTCTGTCTATAATTTATGAGTAAAATCCTCGAAAGAATACAAAAATAGCTAAGAGTGGATTCTGTAAGCCCCCTCCAGGGTAGGGACTGGCCTCATATACCCAAAGGCCTGGATGTTATGGGAATGCAAGGATCTGTTTGGAAGAAAGAATGTTCCCTAACGTGATGGGCCTTGCAGGTTCTTTTTCTCTTCCATTCAGCTGGTCACAGACCTTGCCAGCAGAAGGTGGGGAGCCCAGTAGCAGGACTTGGGGGAGGATCTGAAGGTCACTGGAGTGAGGAATGGAAAGCTCCGATCTCTTGTGAGGCCACAATGAGGAACATGCCAGGTGAGCCTTCTATGGCTCTTGGGTCACCCTGCTATCTGCCCTCCAAGCCTAGGGACACCGCAGGGCAAGCAGTGCTGTGGGGTGCCATGGGCTGCTTCAGGGACAGGGTCTCTAATAGAAATGGAATCACGAATCCTTTTTGAAGGAGAAAAATGAGACACACAAGTTTTAACATGGGAATTAGTGGATTAAATGTTTATAAATGATTGAAACAAATATATTTTTCTTGCTATTTTCTAACTTTCAATTTTGATACCATTTGCTTTCTGGATCTCATTAACCATTTCTCCTCCCTCATTCCTCGTAAGAATATAGTGATGAATATTGCATTCCACCTGACACTTGTATTTCTTTCCAGATTCTAAAACATTTTCACAGCCAACTTGGATAAGCAGGAGAAAGCAATTATGGCCGTGGGTTAGGAGATGGAGAGACTGAGTCTCAGTGCAGCTATGTGTACAGACAAGACCCGGCAGCGGGCGAGTGCAAAGCAAGGAAAGCAGCTCAGGTCAACCTGAGTCTCTGCTCAGGGAGTGCTCCTCCCACTCCCGTCGCCTTCCTGTCTGTCCTCCCTGTGCCCGTGTTGGTGGTCTTGGTGATGGGTAGACAAATGCACTTTCAACCTCAGGAAGTGCCACCAAACAGTTGAGGTGACCGGCGATTCTCCCTCTTCACCTTCACATCATTGTTGGGCATCAATAAATAACACACGGGTGGGGGATTTTTGAAAACAGCCAAAATCATAAAAATAGTGGATTTTTACCATTTGCCAAGCTCCATTCCAGGTACACCAGGTTAATCATTAATTTGCCCTCACAACTCCCCAGTGGCAGAGTTACTTTTTAAAAATTGTACTTTTAAGTTCTGGGGTACATGTGCAGATCTTGCAGGATTGTTACATAGGTATAAACATGCCATGACAGAGTTACTTTTAAAAAATGATCCTATTTTACCAATGAAGAAGCCAGGCAGAGTCCAGGGAGGTGAGGTTGCTTGAGATCCCAGAGTAAGCGCATAGAAAATGTTTCATTCCAAGTATGGGTGTAACAGTAGAGAACTAAGCTTGAGAAAGATGGAAGAGATTTAAGGGATTGGCTAACAAATGGGTCGACCCTGGCATGACTGAGACCAGATGGATGTGGGTGTCGCCTGGTGAGCAGGCTCCCGGGAAGTGGGAGGCTGGCACTGCGCACCTGTCAGCCTGCGTGGATAGGGTGAGCACCACCTTGGCAGCACTGCTCCCACTCATGAGGCTCCCACCACGGAAGTCGGAGGCCCGGCCCCGGCTACCTTCCCGGACGAGGTCCTGGATGGACAGGGGCTGGACGACGGGGGCCGTGCTCAGGGTGCGACCCTGCTCTGGGCTCTGCTCAGGGGGCGAGCCCTCACACTCAGGGTCCCCAAGGAGGCCAGCACTCCCAGTGGCCTTCTGGGGCTGGCTGATGGTGAGAGGGGGCTGTGAGGTGCCATCGCTGAAGTGGTTGTGCTCCAGGGTGCCCACATACTCACACACCCTAGAAAGAGCACAGACAAGCAGCTGTTAGGAGCCGTGATCACCCGGCAGCTCCACAACCCCACAGTGCCTGACAAAGGATGTGCAGCCAGCTCTGCAAGCTCCCCAGCTTTCCCTCCTTTCCTGTGATCAGTCAGTCCTTCCCTCCTGTGTTCTCATGTCACACAGCATTATTAGTAGCAGTATTTGAGATAGACCAGACAGCCTTAAAGTGGGTAAAGGTTCTTTGGGTTCTCTCATCCCAGGCTGGGAAAAAGATGGCCAATGAGGCCCGGTTCATCCAGTCCCCCTGCCTCGCCCAGCTCACTGGCTTATCTGCCCTCCTGCTGCTTCAGTCACTTTTCCTCAGGCACCTGTTTCCCTCTACACAGTGCTCTGATGAGGAGTTGGGAAGCGTTTCCTTATGACGGGATCCCAGAATGGCCACGCCTATGACGGACAGGCCATCCAGCCACAGTGAGTTCTGTCCAGCCATGTCCTGCCTGGTCCTGATGGCACCACATAACTCACGTCTGAGTGGGGTGGGTGGTGGCTGGGTGGGAGGCAGCTAGGTGGGAGGGTGGTCACCAAATCATGGCAAACACGGGGAAGTGTCACCACATGTGCTACAACTGCCAACTTCCAAATGGTTTGTTCCCAACAGAACTGGGGATGAAGATGGTTTGCAAGGTCCCTCATCTTAGAGGAAGTCTGTTTACTGGTAAAGAGCATTGTGGAAAATCCACTGTGATGTTCTAGAATCAGGGAATTTTTCAATCCCTAACCTGCTGCTTGGGCACCAGGTAAGCCTTTTTCTTTTTTCCTTTCTTTTTCTTGTTAGGACAATAAAAAGCATCAGGTCAGCAGCCTTCATAATACAACCATTTTGCTCAACAAACACTCATGGCTATATTTGCTCTGAAGATGTGAAACTGAACCCAGCTCTGGCTGCTGCCCTGGGCCATCGGCCATCGCCTTGGCCACTCTTGCTCCAAGCCTGCTCTGCCAAGACCTGGGTTTGGAGTGAGCCTGGGGTGTGTGCTGCAGAGGAGGAGAAGGAACAGCGTGGCCAGCCCTGCCCTGTTCCATGGGCAGTGCTCCTTCCGTGGTGCTGGGTCTGCCCTGAGGCAACACTTGGGGAGGTGTGCTTTCAGTCTTAATTGTAAGAGGACTTGGACTCTGGAGCTATGGCTGGGTTTCATCTTACAGGCACTGTGCACTATGTAACTGGGAGTTTCTTTTCACTTTGATGCTACAATGCCTAGAGCTAAATTTTCGGCCTGTCTTTGGCAGAGGGGTAGTATTTGTTTTGTTTTTTGGTCTGGCTAAATTAAAACTAGGTATCTTGTATTTTCTGTATCCAAATAAGCTACCTGAAATCTTTAAGTAAAGAGGACACTGATAAACATAGAGCAATGTAATACTGTGGTAACATGACCAGTTTTAGATTCGCACAGTATTCACCTAACTTACATAGTCATCTCAATCCATTTTTTAATTGGTTTTTCTTCCCTGGGACAACATATCTCTCTCTCACAAAAATGTCAATAGAAAAGTCACAATTCCTCAGACTCAGTTCTGGCCCCTGTTCTTCAAAACATACATTTAGTCGGGCCCTTCCTTATTCCCTCTTTTCTTTCCATGTCTCATGTGAAGTTTACTCAAACTCTGCGAATTGTTAGAATCACTTTACATGCTGGCAGGCTCTTGAGTCTACCCCTCTCCACCCCAAAGCCTGCTCCAGGCTTCCCGAGGCAAGGTTGGTGCCAGCTGGGGGTGGGAGCCCGTCATGCACCTGAACACGTGTGGCCAGCAGTCCGGATTGTGGCTTCCCATCTCCAGGCCTACGCTGAGGATGGCTTCCATGCACAAGACGTGGGCAGTGTGCAGCCACACCCCCTGCACCTTCCCAATCTGCTCCAGTTTCTGCTCCACTTTTAGTTTCACTGTGCCAGAAAGACATTTATTAAAATAACAGGTTGAGTAAGGGAGACAGAAAGGGAGAGAGAAAGAATGAAGACGAAAGAATGTGTGTCATGCAAGGGCAAAAGGGAAAGGACAGACTTCAGTGGCAGCAAGCGCCGCCACAGCAGGTCCTTGCAGACCGTCATGCAAACCGCCCAGCCGGCAGGTCCCACCTGCCAGTGGCCCCAGCTCTGCAGCTCCAGAAGTCAGATGGATCCTGAGCTGGCAGGTGCCATTCCTCCAGGCCCTTTCATGGGCTCTGGGCCAGGCATGGCAGCGTGGAGGGTTTCATGAGCCAATTCCAGCTAAAGCCATCTGGGCCCAGATCCTTACACTTCCCCAAAATTGGTCAAATGAAAGAATTCCTGGCTTTCTACAAGGTTTCTCTGAGACTGTTGTAATGTTAGACTTTCATTATGATCATCATCTCTAAAACAACTTATTTATGTATATTTTGGGCATCAGAATGACCGCTCTATCACTGGAAGTGACCAATATCATTTCAGCCCTTGAGTTTGTATTTGTGAGCTTCAAATAATACTTTTAAAAACTGTAGGCTGGGTGTGGTGGCTCTTTGGGAGGCCAAGATGGGTGGATCACCTGAGGTGGGGAGTTTGAGACCAGTCTGAGCAACATGGAGAAACCCCATCTCTACTGAAATTACAAAATTAGTTGGGCATGGTGGCGCATGCCTGTAGTCCCAGCTATTCGGGAGGCTGAGGCAGAATAACCCCTTGAACCCGGGAGGTGAAGGTTATGGTATGCTGAGATTGCGCCATTACACTCCAGCTTGGGCAACAGCAGCAAAACCTCATCTCAAAAAAAAAAATTGGAAAAAAATTGTACATGATTAATGAGAAAGAATGCAGAAGGTGACTTCAGTAATGCAAAATGCTAAGGCAAGGCCAAACCACAGTGTCCTCCTTGAATAAAGGTTTCAAGTCATTGCATCTGGTTGGATAATTTCTGGGTTCAGAACCCAGAAATACAGCAAGCCAACCTCAAAGGAATCTGAGGGTTTGCTCCATCTCCCAATATAAGGAGCAAAGTGATTTTTACCAAAACATCATTTGTCTCATAAATGTGATACTAATTTTATGTATGTATGTATGTTTTTGAGATGGAGTCTTGCTCTGTCACCCAGGCTGGAGTACAGTGGCGCCATCTTGGTTCACTGCAACCTCCACCTCCCAGGTTCAAGTGATTCTCCTGCCTCAGCCTCTCAAGTAGCTGGGATAACAGGCATCTGCCACCATACCCAGCTAATTTTCTTATTTTATTTATTTATTTTTTAGCAGAGAGGGGTTTCTGTCACCACGTTGGCCAGGCTGGTCTCAAACTTCTGTCCTCAAATGATCTACCTACCTCAGCCACCCAAAGTGTTAGGATTACAGGTGTGAGCCACTGCACTTGCCCTTTTTATCTATGTTTTTGAGATAGGGTCTCACTCTGTCACTTAGGCTAGAGTGAAATAGCATGATTATGGCTCACTGCAGCCTGGACCTCCCTAGGCTTGGTGATTCTCCCACCTCCGCCTCCCAAGTAGATGGGACTACAGGCACATGCCACCATGCCTGGCTAATTTTTGTATTTTGAGTAGAGACAGGGTTTCACTATGTTGCCAAGGCTGGGTTGAACTCCTGCACTCAAGCCATCCACTTTCCTCAGCCTCCCAAAGTACTGGGATTGCAGGCGTAAGCCACTGTGCCCAGCCTCTACTGTTTGTATTTCATCTGAATATCATGGTCTTGGTTTTGTGTGTGTGTTTTTTTTTAAATAACTGTGAATGTAAGGATTCTTATGTAGTTCATGGTTGTATAATATTTAAGTAAAACTGTGAGACTCCTTCTTAACACTGGGGATCTGTGAGAACTATTTTGCTTTCAAATGGGTCTCTAAATTTTATTCGAGTCTGAAAAACACAGAACTAAGCTGTGTTTCTCAGCTAAAAATGTACAGCTGACTCAGTGACTTGCTACGGTGCATATCTGATAGTAGTTACACGATTTGGACCAAGCTTTTGTTTGCCGCCTGCCTTGTATCTTCTGTTGCTGTCAGGATGGTCACTCCCTTCCCTTAGATCCAGATAATCATCAGCTTCATCAACTCACTGATTTCAACACGTTAAAAATCAGCCATTTCCCAAGTTCACAAAGCTCAGATTTTTCGGATAAGAGCCTCCTCTTCCTGAGCCTCCCCTCATGAATTTTCTCCACCTGTTTAATTTTCCCCTTTAGAAAACTGGCCAATCTGTCTTCCCCCACTATAACCTGAAGGGTCTTCAAGTGTGCACTGGTGTGAAGAGTCAAAGCGATGAATAGATGATGAGAGAGGTATGAACAGTTCAGCCAGGTGGGCCTGTGGGACTCCTAGCAGCACCTGCTGCACTTTGCTTGCCACCAGGGGTCAGTATATGTCTCATTCTCCAGAGGGATCTTAATAGGTCACCTACATAGAAGAGACCCAAGCCTGTGGCTCAGCAGGATCTTGTGATCAGTGGTGTGTACATACTGGACATCACACAGAGAACAGGCACTAGTGTTGGCTGGCATGTGTGGGCCTGTGCAGGTGTGTGCATACCGCACCTGAGGCACTAGGTGGCTTCTGGCTCTCCAGTTGTTACCTTGTGCGATGGCATCACTGGGTTCTTGGGCCTCCCTCTCTTCTTTTTCTTCTTGGACACAGGAGGCAGCTGCCATCTGGGCAAGGGCCGAGGCGCAGTTAGCAGCAACCCCTTTAGAGGAGACAGACAATGACTTCTTGACTGAGTATATCCTGTAACCATTCACCTGGCAGAACCCCTTCTAAAGGGCTTCCCTACCACCGCTAGATCATTCTCAGTGAGTTCTTCAGGACCACAGCCAGGGAACACGACTCCCACTGGTACCTAGCGCGCAGCTCAGCCGTGCGGCTTTCCGCAGCCCATCGAGGCTCATGCAGATGGTGTCCCGCTCCTTCTGGTTCTGCTCTTTGATGCCTTCAGCTCCCAGGATGAAGGCCAGCCCTTTGGAGCTTCCTGCCATTCGACCAGTTAGTGGAGTTGATAAAGTATCTATCAAGTTCTTCCAGCAGCCCACCAGAATATAGCGAGCAAATGCCACACCTGCAACATGGAGGGGTGTGAGTCACTTTCTACAGACAAAAATGAGCTGGCAATGAATGACATGGCGGTCTCTTGCCATCAAATGAGCAGTACTGAGTTGCACGTAATTCTACAACAGGAAATATAACTTAATGGATTATATGGGATCACATTTCCCTTTGTTCTTATAAATAATAAATGTTGCATTACCAGCTGGATGATGCTAAGTAACTTCCATCAATTACTTTTTCTTACCAAGACAAAAATCTTGATTCAAGTCACCACATAATAATTTAATTGCTGGTAACACATGCAGTTTATGGATGTTCATAAACTCAAGACCCAAGTCATTACCTGCCACTGTGGAGTCATCGATTCTCCTGCTCTGGGTGAAAGGAGACTCTGTAGCAGCTGAGGCCATCAGCTGGCCACCAATGGCACTGCTCTCTAAGCCATCAATATCTGTCAAGGAAAAAGAGTGAAGTTTTCCCCCAAATAAAACATTCCAGTCAAAAGCAAGCAAATGGCCACCACAATATTCATTTTTAATAAATATCCCTTATATCGTTTATGTTTGAAGCATGTAGCAAACTTTTATGAGAATATCATAAATTTTGTTTTATTCTCTCAGTCTAGCTTTATTTCATGTTGGAATATTTATTCTTTTGTTACAGTTTTGCTTATCTTTATTTAAAAATAGATGTAAATTATAAATTATTATTTCTGTTAGAAAATCTATTGACTTAGAATATTTTGATCTTAATACTCTTTTTATTCAAAACCATGGACTATTCCCAAATTTAATATGTACAGGTCACCCAGGAGTGAACTTTTCTTTCAGAGCCTTCGTGTATGAATTAAGAAGAGAATAAGCCTCTTTAGTCAGATAATCACATACTCAGATTGCAAAGTACAATAACTAATACCTTATAATTTTCAAAGTGTTTTCACATAACATTTTTTCACTTGATCATCAAAGCAATTCGAATTAGGTAAGCAGGTCAGTATTATTTTTATTTCACAAAGGAAGAAACAAATAAGAGTCCTGCACCACAAAATGTTGCTTCAGTCAACCATGGACTGCATAGAAGACAGTGGTCCCCTAAGATTATAATAGCATATTTTTATTGCACCTTTTCTATGTTTAGATACACAAATACTTGCCACTGTGTTATGACACTGCTTATAGTATTCAGTACACGCAGTGCAGGTTTGTAGCCTAGGTGTATAAGTAACTCTATCACAGTCACATAATGTCAAAATTGCCTAACATGCATGTCTCAGAACATGTTCCTGTCCTTGCTAAAGGATGCATGACCGTATTTAAAGCAGGTAAATGACTCAAGGCCATGAGGCTGATGATGGAAAGAATTAGTATTCATGTCTTCTGACTTCCATCCAGGCCTCTCTACACTATTCCTGCTCCATACTGGATCCTCAATTAACCTGTTTAAGTTTTTGTTGAAACAAATTGTCTTCTACAGAATTAGCTCAACAAACCACTCTTTAACATCATGGCAAGGAAAGGACTGGAGTGGGGTTAAGAAGGCTGAGCTTTCATCTTGGCTCTAAATTAAGTAGCCTTGTAGCCCTGGGCCAGGCTCTTCAGGGCCCCAAGTTCCTCAGTATAAAGGAAGTAACCACTGGAAAAGTGACTATGGAGTAACATACATACTTGGATGCAATTAATATAGCTGAATGCAACATAGGGTGGGATGGGAAAGGAGGGTAGTTGTGTTTTGTTTTGTTTTTATTTTTATTTTTTATTTTTTTAAGACAGAGTCTTGCTCTGTCACCCAGGCTGGAGTGCAGCGGTGCAATCTCAGCTCACTCCAACTTCCCCCTCCTGGGTTCAAGTGATTCTTGTGCCTCAGCCTCCTGAATAGCTGGGATTATAGGCATATGCCACCACACCTAGCTAATTTTTGTATTTTTATTAGAGATGGAGTTTCACTATGATAGCCAAGCTGTCCCACCTCTGCCTTCCAAAGTGCTGGACTTACAGGCGTGAGCCACTGCCTGTAATTATTAGTATTTATAAAGTCCTGAGTTTAGGACTTTACCATCACCCCAAAAGGTTGAGAATTCTTTGCATGGTGTATGAAAATTATATCACTGCATCTTTGATTCTTACAGAAATTACAAAAACCTGGACACTTCTCAGCAACTATCAAATCAAAAACAGGGAAGAAATCTATATGGCTGCTAAGGTGAAAACAGACTTTCTCTGAAATTAATTTTGCATCTGGTCAAATGGTCTAATGACATTTGCCAGAGATTTTCATTTATCAAAGTATAATGAATGTTTTCTTTTTTTTCTTTTTTCTGAGATGGGGTCTCGCTCTGTTGCCCAGGCTGGAGTACAGCAGCATGATCATGACTCACTGCAACCTCCGTCTCCTGGGTTCAAGCAATTCTCCTGCCTCAGACTCCTGAGTAGCTGGGATTACAGGCCTGCGCCACTATGCCTGGCTAATTTTTGTATTTTTAGTAGAGATGGGGTTTCACCATGTTAGGCTGGTCTCAAACTCCTGACCTTCTGATCCACCTGCTTCGGCCTCCCAAAGTGCTGGGATTACAGGCGTGAGCCACAGTGCCTGGCCAATGAATGTTTTCTATGTGCTAGGCAAAGGTCTGATGAATTCAAGTAACGTATTTCTGTGCTAAAATACCACAATTCTATACAATATTCTGACATGACATCAGGAATGGCCACAGTTGGTACACGATTGATTATGAGATTGCTGGCAATGCTTCTCCTCATACAGAATGAAAAGTTCAGACAGAAGTCTCCAAACTCTAGGTTAACTACTGTTCTGATTCACTTGTCACTTCATACCTGGAATTTAGAATCACAAAGAATCACAGACCCTTATTTTGTTAAATTCTTATGAAAAGCCCTTTTCTATCATTAAAGTTAAATAACTTCCCTATGGACACAGCAATTGAGCTTATTGTTCCATTAATAACAGCGACGGCTAATTAACAGTGATGACTGATGAATATGGGAGCTGTGAATAGTCTGTTACTTACTCATTTTACATCTACTGAATGACTCCTTTTATTAAGGTCCGGGCAAGAGAGTCACAGAGATTACTTTTGGCACAGAGAAACTATGGTATTTGCAAATTAAAGCTGGAATGTTTAGGATCCTCATCCAAATTCTCAGACTTATAAGCTCTGGGCAGTACCTTCCATCCCTACTGAAAGGAGTTTGTAAAAACAGATGGAAACCAAGCATTGCTTATAGGTAAACTAAATAAATGGCTCTCACAGATTTGAATGATTATGTTTTTCTTTCTTTCTTTTTTTAGACAGAGTCTTGCTCTGTCACTCAGGCTGGAGTGCAATGATGTGATCTCAGCTCACTACAACCTCTGCCTCCCAGGTTCAAAGGATTCTCCTGCCTCAGCCTTGCAAGTAACTGGGACTACAGATGTCTGCCATGCTCGGCTTATTTTTGTTACTTTTTTGCAGAGATGGGGTTTCACCATGTTGACCAGGCTGGTCTCGAACTCCTGACCTGAAGTGATCCACCTGCCTTGGCCTCCCAGAGTTTGGGGATTATAGGCGTGAGCCACTGTGCCTGGCCTGAATGTTTATTTTAAATGGATGTAAACGCTATTATGATTAACAAAATACAAATTGATCACCTCTCCAGTGATCCTGATCCCCGAGGTTTGAGACCCAATATTACTTCCCCCAATTCCATCCTAGTTCTTGAAGCAAGACTCCAAATGACAAACAACGACCAGGACTCTGCCACCCATGGACAGACCTCACTGCATGTCCTGACCTTCTGTCTGATTCCTAAATAGTGCCTCACCCCCAATTCCACGTGGCTGGGTTCCACCTGCCAGTAGTTTACTCTGATACCTTGTAAGAACCCCCAGTGCCAGCCCTAGGCAATGTCACATGCCCTTTGGACAACAGATTCTGCATCCAAGCTGGACTGTCCTGCCAAGCCCAGTGCTGTTCCTATCGGGCACAGAGCCATGCCAAGCTGTGTGAAGATACATACAGACACTCCAGAGAGGGAGGGCCATGCTCTGCACCTCCTTCCACTGGAGCCAGGAGGGAATAACTGAGATCAGAAGCAGTCTGGGGAGGGTAGGTGTGGCTCACGCCTGTAATCCCAGCACTTTGGGAGGTCAAGGCAGGCAGATCACTTGAGGTCAGGAGTCAAGACCAGCCTGGCCAACATGGTAAAACCCTGTCTCTACTCAAATTACAAAAATTAGCTGGGCATGGTGGTGGGTAATCCCAGCTACTCTGGAAGCTGAGGCAGGAGAATCACTCAAACCCAGGAGGTGGAGGTTGCATGAGCCGAGATGGAGCTACTGCACTCTAGCCTGGGCCACAGAGCCAGACTGTCTCAAAAAAAAAAAAAAAAAACAAAAAAACAAATCCAAACAAATTTTTAAAAAAAACCAGTCTGGGGACTCGAAGCCAATTCAAACAAGCCTGGAGCTCTAACTTATTAAGGCAAGGGATGACCAGACTAAACTTTTGCTCTCTCCCCAATCTTCCGCACTATGGCTGAGCCACAAGAAGCCATGAAAAGCTGGTTTTGCCAAAACATGTTGCTCCATGACAATATGACATACTGCTCTCTACACTCTCATGTGACATTTCTAATTGTTCAGTAGGATTTCAAAAGTTTTTGTGGTCCATATACACCCTGGAACACCACACAACCACCAAGAAAACCCAAAATCATGTCCTGTGTAGCAACATGGACTCAGCTGAAGGCCATTATCCCAAGTGAGTTAATGCAGGAACAGCAAACCAAATCCCAGCTGGGCTTGGTAGCTCATACCTGTAATCCCCGCACTTTGGGAGGCCAAGGCGGGCTGATTGCCTCAGCTCAGGAATTCAAGACCAGCCTGGGCAATACAGTGAAACCCCGTATCTACTAAAATACAAAAAATTAGCCAGGTGTGGCAGCAGGCACCTGTAATCCTAGTTACTCAGGAGGCTGAGCCAGGAGAACTGCTTAAACCCAGGACTCGGAGGTTGCAGTGCGCCAAGATTGTGCCACTGAACTCCAGCCTGGGCGACAGAGTGAAACACTGTCTCAAAAAAAAAGAAAAGAAAACCAAATGCCATATGTCCTCACTTATAAGTGGGAGCTAAACACTGGGTACTCATGGACATCAAGATGGTAACAATAGACACTGGGACTGCAAGGCAGGAGATGGAGGGAGGGAGGGGAAAGAGTTGAAAACTGTTGGCTACTACACTCAGTATCCTGGTGATGGGATCAATTCACCCCAAACCTCAGCATCATGTAATATACCCAGGTAGCAAACCTGTACACATACCCCTTTAATAAAGTAATAGCTGAAATTATATATAGAGAGAACTATCACATGAGGCTGCACAAAAGCACCAACTTGCTCACAAGCCATTGCAAACTTACACAAAATAATACTCCCGTGAGGACATCTTCCCAGCACCTGCTTGCCTGTCCAGTTCAAACTGGTGCCGCCCTTGTTACTGGTCTTTTACTCAAGGATCGTTATGTGAAAACAATAATGAAATCCTCCTCATTTTCCCTTTAAACACCTTTGTCATCTTTACCTCCCTGAATACACACATAGTTTACTTTGGCAAGTGTATTTCCATTGCAATGCTTATTCCTGAATAAATATTTTTGTTAAAAAAATAAAATGAAAGCTCTGGACAGTGAAACAAAGATGCTGAGCAGGTAAGTATTTGGCAATATTCTTAATTCTGGTACAGCTGGGAAGGGATGGCCTCTGATATGGATAAGAAATGGAAGGAAACCAACTTTTGTTTTGAGACAGGGTCTTGTTCCTGGCACCCAAGCTGGAGTGCAATGGTGCAACCTCCACCTCCCGGGTTCAAGTGATTCTCCTGCCTCAGCCTCCTGAGTAGCTGGGACTACAGGTGCCTGACACCAGGCCCAGCTAATTTTGTATTTTTAGTAAAGATGGAATTTTGCCATGTTGGCCAGGCTAGTCTCGAACTCCTGACCTCAAGTGATCAGCCCACCTCCACCTCCCAAAATGCTAGGATTACAGAACTGAACCACTGCACTCAGCGAGGAAGCCAACTTTAAAATCAGCCATTTTACATTTACTGGTAAATCTCAAGAACACGGAATGATATGGACTTCTTTAGCATGTGAGAGCTACCAGGAATAATCCTGGGCCTACACATCCTATCCATGTGGCCTATAGTTTTACACCAACAAAGGTACTAAGTTAGTCTTCATCTAATGGGGCACGGTGAGCCCTACAGACTCTCACATGGAAAAAGGACAGAAAACGCCTGTGAAGTGAACTCATTACATTTCCCTGGAACTGTCACTAACTGCCAGCAAAGCTATGAGGGTGTTTCAAAATCTGCTCAAACACCATTGCTTTTCTGAAAGAGGCCTTAAAGTAAGCCATTCCACCCTACCATGTGCCCCAAAGCTTTGTGAGAAACCACTGACCGGTCAGCATTGTGATGAGGGGAAGGCTGTTATCTTCTGGGCTGCCCCAGTAGCCAGCCTCTCCAAGCATGTTCCTGTCAAGCACCTGATGGTAGAGCTCCTCAATCCAGGCCGGGGAGAAGACCATCAGCACGCCGCTGGACTGCACCTGCTTCATGAACTCCTTCTACAGAGAGACCACATGAGAAGGTGACCACATAATACCCCGCTCACAAACAGGCTCCTATGTGCCTCTGCTGCCTCTTCACGTCACAGAGCCCTGAACTAAACCAAGGCTTGTGTATTGGCTAAGGGGCTGGCAAGTGGGGAGAAGCAGAGATGGAGAATTCCCAAATGTGCTGAAGTTCCCTTCACTGATGACATTCCCTTCACTGATGACACCTTTTGACAGATACCTTGCAGAGGGATTAGAGAGACTGCATTTTACATTCTTACTCTTGGATGTGTGGAAGGGTTTGCAGCTGCCAACTGCACAGACATCTTTAACAGAGTAACAGAGCTTCCTTTTCTAAGAGTCCCAGCAGCAGAGATGGAAGGCATTTCTGCAGGAATGTGCACGTTTCAAGAGATACTTAACTTATGCCCATGAAGTAATCACTTACCTTTGGGAATTTACCATTTATCAAGCAAACAAATGATTGTGGATTTCCTTCACATAGATCCATGGATTTAGGCTCAGGAACTGATAATAGGGTACACCATGGAGTGGCTGGCTCCATCACAGGAACAAGGGACAGAAAACTAACCAAAGGACAATCAACATTTTCATTGCACTCCTTATAGGAGGTACTTGTGAGCAACAGCCAGTGAGCTTAGTTCTGGGTCAACAGGTCTGGGAACATATTGGAATATGGTGAAGGGTTTTTATATGTGCACACCTTCAGCCAGCCATGATGGCTCATGCCTGTAATCCCAGCACTTTGGGAGGGCAAGGTGGGAGAACTGCTTGAGCCAAGGAGCTCAAGTCCAGCCTGGACAACATAGTGAGACCCTGTCTTTACAAAAAATAATAAAAAAAATTAGCCAGGCATGGTGGTGCACCCCTGTAGTCCCAGCTACTTGGGAGCTGAGGTGGGAGGATCACTTGAGCCCAGGAGTTTGAGGTTGCTGTGAGCCATGCCATGATCACCCCACTACACTCCAGCCTGGACAACAAAGCGAGACTCTGTTTAAAAAAAAAAACAACACAACTCATTTTCAGCAAATTCCCTGCATACCTTCTGATCTGCCTTAACATGTCAATGATGTGGTTTTGAACATGCTTTATACACATGTGTTTAGTAATGTTACTGGATGAAACTACTAGGTCATCCCTAGGCAACCATTTCCAGGACCTCATGTCCACATGCTCTCCACTGGAGCCCAGTGAGTAGCTCTACACTCCCAGTGCTGAGCAACTGTGTATCTGTGCCCTTGTATGTGTGTCGTCTCCTTCCACCCCCTGAAGTCCTGCTGGCATTACACCCAGCCTAGAGCAGCGTGGAACAAAACGCACTGTGCTATCCCACTCAGGGCACTGTCGCTAGGCAGTATACCAGGAGGCCACAGCCTGCCCTCAGCCATCCAACGAGGGGCAGCACACTCACCATCACACCTGGCGCCAGGGTCGGCCGCTTCCTGTAGTAGTCGCTGTGGGAGAGCTTCAGGTTGAGGAGCAGGGCATAGTGCGCAGCTGCGTAGAGGCTGTCTGCGTTCATCAGCATCTGGAAGCTGAGGCTGCTGCTGGCGTCAAAGCCAGGAGAGTGCATCATGCCTAAGGGAGAGAACCAAGAGACTTCTGGGACTGGGAACAGTGTGCTCGGCAAGGCTGGCTTCCAGAGAGCTGCAAACCCAGCACAACAGATACTGCATCATACAGGACATTTCTTTTTTATTTTTTTGAGACGGAGTCTTGCACTCCAGCCTGGGCTGGAGTGCAATGGCCCAATCTTGGCTCACTGCAACCTCCACTTCCCGGGTTCAAGCAACAAGTACCTGGAATTATGGTTGTGTGCCACCATGCCTGGCTAATTTTTGTATTTTTAGCAGAGATGGGGTTTCACTATGTTGGCCAGGCTGGTCCTGAGATACTGACTTCGTGATCCACCTGCCTTGGCCTCCTCAAGTGCTGGGGATTTACAGGCATGACCCGCCACACTCAGCCATCTCTATGAATTTTAATGAATATGTAAGTAAGAAGATGTGGACAAGAGAAAGCTTTCAAAGTTGAAAATAATTCAAGATCTTTGCCATATTTGAGGACAGTATAAACACTTTTTGGAGGGAGTAAGCATATATATTATTCCCATAAAACCACCTTAGACAATCAAAGGTTAGGTATTACCCCTGCCTTGTAAGATAAAGCAGAGGAAATTCAAAACAGTTGAAATTCTGAAGATGCCTCGAGGTTTTCTACCAAGAGCACTTTGTGATCATGGACTGGGGTGCATTTTAAAAGAAAGGTTCAGACTGCGAGTGAGATCTGAAAACTACAGCTTTGGTTAGGACATGAGCAGTGTACCTCAGCCCTCATGGTCCATGGGAACCCCTGGCACTCTCAAGGTCCTGGTGGGGCTGATACCAGTTATCTGGAAGAGACATAGGGCACAAGAACAGTCTCCTTCCACGGGAAAACAGAAAGCAGCATTCAGGGTTGGGTGTTTAACTACCTCGGATAATAGATGACAGGTACAATTGAGTCTATCAAGAAAGAAAGAAAAAATGAGTCTGTGAAAGGCTTTCAGTTTAGACATCAGCAATAATTCCTTTAAAAATATTGGAACCAACTACTATTTACCTTGGGATGTTTTGGAAAACTGAGCACCTGCTCAGACGCTGAAAGTGAAAAAGGCAGCTAATGTGAGTGTTGACATGGAGACCAAAATCACCAGCAGAGAAGTGACGAAGCCCTGGCAGGCACTGCTGGTGGCGATACCCAAGAGGAAAGCATTTGCTGGACTTGTTACGAGTCATCTGCTGGTACCACCTTATGTCTGCATGCAGATTAATTTCTTAAATTACAAAGAGCTGGCAAATTTGTGACTAAAACAAAGTAAGGTTTATTTTGACAACTCAAAGAAAACAGCCATTTTCTTGCTATAGTTCACTGGTGATATGGATAGCGGAAACATGATAAGAATAATTTATTAAACACTTTCTATTACCTAGAACCAATCTCTTCTCATATATCATTTTCTGATCTGTAAGAAAGGTGCCCCAGAGACAGTAATTTGCCCAGTGTTACACAGCTCAAAATCAGCAAAGGTCTTTTGGGCCCACACTTCAGGTTTTTGCGCTAGCCATGCTGTACTTGCTTCTAATGTCTAGAAAAGATTTCGCCATATCCTGTACCTCTCTCATAGGTAGTCTGTTTTCCATTCATCCTTCTGATTGGCCTCATTGATGTGTTATCCAATTTAGAGTAACAAACTATAGGAACTATGACCTTTAACATGTTCTGACTTTTTGTATTGCCCAATGTTCATTAACTAAATTTCATTCTCTCCCTTTATAATGAAGATGCACTTTAGTGTGGAAACAGGAGGATGGATCACCTACTTGACTGGAAAGATTAGCTACAAGATTAGCACAAGTGACCTCTAAAAGTCCATTCCATGTCTAAGAAAATCTGGTACTTCTTTCTTGGATGAACATTACTTTAGAACCTTGAATAATATACTGAAGAATATAAAAAATAAGAACAATAGTCCCTACTTCTCCCCAAGGCCCAATGACACCTCTAACAGCAAGACTCACTTCCTTGTGTGTTTGAAAATATCACAAAGTGAGATCACACTACATATGCTGGACTGTAACTTGATGTTTTCTAAAAATATGTGTTAGATGTGTCTTGATATTGACACTTACAGGCGTGCTTCATTCTTTCTTAATGACTGTGCATATGCCACTGCATAGTTATGGGGTTTATTTATCTGATTTTCATGCTCTATAGGTGGACATTTATGTTGTTTCAAGTATGACAAAATCTGACATGACTAAATGAAAATATACTTATTCTGCTTTGAGTACACTTGCAGAAGGGTACTAAAAGCAGAATAAGTAAGTATATTAAGTTTAATAGAAACAGCCAAACTATGTTCCAGATAGATTTCTACCAATTTTTCCACCTACCAACTATGCACAAAATACTCTCACACCCACTCTCAGCAACACTGGGCATTATCAACTTTCTAAACCTTCATGATAAGATTACACAACTTTGCTTAGTCACAGATTTATTTAAGTCTATGGCTCTAATTTTTACATAACATTACTGCTTTATCTTCTGATAGAAGTTGCAAGAAATCAGAGATTTGGAAAAAGGCACAAAGAAGAAAATAAACTGTAATAACACCATGCTGATAAGTAGTATCAACATTTTAAATCCTTTTCAAAATTACATGATAATTTTTCATATCATTAAAAATTATTGGAAAAGATAATTTTAAGTGGCTATTTAGGCTGGGCGTACTGGCTCACACCTGTAATCCCAGCACTTTGGGAGGCCGAGGTGGGTGGATCACCTGAGGTCAGGAGTTTGAGACCACCAGCCTGGCCAACATGGTGAAACCCCATAAACCCTGTCTCTACTAAAAATACAAAAATTAGCCCCGTGTGGTGGTACAGGCCTGTTATCCCAGCTACTCGGGAGGCTGAGGCAGGAGAGTCACTTGAACCCAGGAGGTGGAGGTTGCAGTGAGTCTTGCCATCTCTCCATTGCACTCCAGCCTGGGTGACATAGAGCGAGACTCCATCTCATAAATAAATAAATGGCTATATAATATGATAAATGGATGTACCATAACTCATTTAACCTTTCCCTTATTTTTGGGTAGTTAGATTATTCTAATAGTTTTCACTGTTAAGTAATGATACCATATATGTTTCTGTACATAAATCTCTGCCTGAGTTTCTATTCCTTTAGTGTAGGTTCCCAGGAGCCAATGAGATACCAGATATCCATTGGTATTTTTCAGTCTGTTGGGACTTTGAAAACTCATACATTTGCTGGGCTACAGTTTTTCAGCCACCATGGTGTGGTGTTTTTTGTTTGTTTGTTTTAACCAGAGCTAACCAACTCCAGAAGTTTTTGTGTTCTTCAACAGCAATTCCTAAATAATTAAAAATCTTCTAAGAGAAGCATGTGAAGAACAGCTTAAAGATCCACCAGAGGGAGAAACTGAGTCCATTGTGGTTAGTTAGCAGGAATGGGTATCACAGAGGCATCCTACGTCATATTTGCAAAGAATACTTAAAGACAGGAGATACATGGCAACAAAATATTAAGTAGAAAGTAAGTTACAAAATTACACATATGACATATTCATTCTCCCCATCCTGGTACTGTGCAGTGTAATGAGCGTTCTGTCTGGAGTCAGATTCATAGCCTGGTATCACCTCTTCCTAGCTATGGACATACTTGGATGACTTACTACTCAACCTGTGTCTCAGTTTTCTCATCTGTAAAATGAGGATAATAATACTATTTACTTTATGGGGTTGTTATGTGTATTAAATGAATATCTGTAAAACCCTTAGATAATGCAGGGCATATAGGACGTGCCATGTTGGATTAGCCAGTATTATTACAGATACATGTAAAAAAGCACATTCATATAATGAAAAATGACTGCTAGGAAAGATGCCAAGATATTCCAGAGTCAGCTTTTAGATGGTTTGATTATTTTGTGTTGTCTTTTTTTTGGTAGAGACACGGTCTTACTATGTTGCCCACTATGTCCTCCCACTCTGGCCTCCCAAAGTGCTGGGACTACAGGAAGGAGATTTTGTATGGTTTCTATAGTATTGTATTCTCTAAGTTTTATATTCCACAGTGCCAGGTGTTGGTCAAGGATTCTGTTAGAATACTTATTCTCCATCCCTGCTTCCAGAATACTTCTCTTCTTCCATTTATTAAAGCAAGCAAACAAACTATCATCCTTTGAGGCTCCTATCATCTGGCCAGATCTTCCACCCATTCTTGAAACTTTCCTCCATGATATGCGAGACACAGCCACAATCACTCGCCACCCTGGCATGGAGTCTGTGGCCTCTTCACCCATTGCCTCCTGCCCCTCCTGCCATTATCCTGTACCACTTCAGCCTCTAGATAGCCAACTCATCCAATGCCAGGTCCTTTTAGACTCTTGACAACCATGCCATCCATCATTCCCTCCATTCTGCCTCTTCCCACCCATGGGCTCCTATAGCAACACTCGGAGTCAATTCACCCAGCTCCAGCATTTTTCCCGCAACATCACTGATTTAGATGGCCTACTCTGACTGGAATCTTTCTGCTGGCTTGCTCAGTCACTTGCACTACAGCAGATTTTGGATGAATCCTCGCCTTTCCCCTACTGTACTATTGCATTTCATTTGCAGAATAAAGTAAGTACCACTGTTTATCATACTTACATTACAGGTAGGCTATGTGATACAGGGAGAGGGTCAGTAACTTGCCCATGGTCACAGCTCTTCGGTGCTAGAACTGGGATCTGATGTTAGATCCCAGAAATGTTAGAGCCCAGATATATATATGTGTGTGCCTATGTACAATTCCTGAAGTTAGAGCTCGGACATATTTATGTCTACATAAATGTCCTGAAAACTGGTTGAATTCTCCCCCTTTCTGTCTGAACAACATTCAAGATTGGAAGTCACCAATGACATTACAACAAGGATAACTCTGCAGCCATAGTTTTTAAAACAAAATACATGCTGTATTAGAAATTGCTCATGACTATATAAAACCATTTTATTCTTACTTAGTAACAG